GCGCGCCGTTGCTCGTGACATCCTCACAGCCGCGCCACTGGCAAGGGTGGGACGAGGCAGCGGACACGGGAGTCCCCACCCCCCCCTCCCCCGAGGGGGGGGTGTATGGTACAAGTCAGTGGGAGGATGAGGTGAGAAGGATGTGGAGATGCCTGCACAGACGGGGGGGTCTGAGTTGATGCGATGAGGATGAGGTGCAGGCTGGGGCTGAGGGGCATGTCCACGGTGTGGGTAGACGGGAGGTGCAAATAGCAGCTATGACATAGCACACGTCAGAGGATGGGGGGAGCGAAGCTGAGAAGAGGAGGAAGTTCATTGAGGGGTGGGCGCGAGGAAGGTGAGAAGGAGGAGGAGAAGGAGGAGGGTAGGCAGGATGCATCGAGTTGGGAACGTCGTTTCTCTCTGTCGGGCCGCCCTCGCGGTTGTGAGGTCTCGAGCGGCGGCGCCGCGGTTGTGCGGATGTCTCGAGCGGCGGAAGGACGGGGGGGGCGGGCGTCATAGCACGGGGCCAAGATAACATAAGGAATTCCGACTTCCTTGGAGGGGAGGAAATTACGGGATCGGGCGAGCCACGTTCTCGGGGCCTGAACACAGCGGAAGTCCAACTTAGCCGATATATTCATTGGGAAAACGGCAACCCAAATATTTTGTTTCCAAGAAGGCGAACGTTCAACATAGCACAACTCTTCCGCAACCTGTGCTATCAAAAAACAACATCTACTTGGTCGGCACCACTTGGGGCACACAGGCGACGTGCCTACAGTGGTTCTTTGTCAGGGCACAAGTGAAGCATGCAGACGACATGCCTGAAATGAGACTTGGCCCGTACCAGTTCAGACGCACAGAGGGGGCATGCCTCACGTTGCACACGAATGGCCCCAAGTGCTCCGTGGAGGGTGCAGGCCGAGACGCCACAAGTGGCACAGGACTGGTACCATGTGAGGCATATCGACATAATGCGTTTGGTGAAACTTGCTAGGTTTCAATTGAGGCATGCAGGCGATATACCTTTAGCCGTACATAGCTGGAGCCAACTGGCGCATACTGACGAAATGCCTCAGGCAATACTTCGTCGGTGCCACCTGGAACATACCGACGATATGCCTCAAGCGGTACTTGTTTAACCATACTTCTCTACTTCCACGCCGTATGACCTGAACCGGCTAAATAATATGATGAGCAGGAGGATACACTCCAGATTCTACATTGCGTGAATTGCTTACTCTGAATTATGCGTGCTCCTGTTACTCCACGGGGGCCGTCCTGGTGGTGATGGCAGTAACGTGGCAAAGACGATGGTGACACGGGCACGACTTTTGCTATCAGGATCAAGCGTGCGGTTCGATGTCCAGGCAAATGTCAATCCCACTCCAAATTACCAATCGATGTTCGTAAACCGCGAGCTGCGCTTGCATGTGTAAACGTATGGAGTCGTTAATGTCTCGATTCGTGCGTGCACACACATCGGGTTTCCTATGTTTTTCCATGTGTTGGGCTGGGAAACATGCAGATAGCTATGGGTGCGTGCTCCCGAAGCCGCGAACCAGTGTAAATTACAATGGAGCCGCGATCCCGAGGCCAACATCCCTAATTCATGCTTACAGGCGCGTGCAACCAGTCAGCCAACAGACAGCCCAAGTCAACTTCCGACCATCAATTTCGACATCAAACAAATCAACCGAGTTGCCAACTAACCGACCGACATGAAAACCAACCAACCAACCGACCAAGCGTGGCAACGCAAAGAATGTGAAGGGGGGGGGGGGCGGTGGCAGAGAGCGAAACCTTTCAGATCCGGCCGCTCCCGCCTGCGGGCTGGGCCGTGCGAGACCACTCTGTCAAAGTGCCCGGCAAGATGCGCCAGGACCTTGTCAAAACCTTCCTGAGTCCCTCCAGTGGGCCGCTACTCCGCCGGCGGTCCCTCGCAGACCCCCCTGGGGTCAAGATTCAAGCGGCCCCAGAACGCCCCGAGACGACCCAAGAGAGCCCCAAGACGGCTTCGGAGAGCCCTCCGGAGCGCCCAGGACGGTCCAAGAGAGCCTCGAGACGATTCCAGATTGCTCCAAGACGGCCCACGATGGTGTGAAGACATCCTGTGAGGCCCTCGGGGCGTCCGAAGAGGCCCCCAAGAGGACTCCCACGAGGACCCTGAGAGCTGAGAGGCCAAAACCATTGATTACCCTTAGCTGTCTGCATGATTTTCGCGTTCTCGACCTTTCGGGCTCCCTACGCTCCAAGACGGCCCAAAATGCCTCCAAGATCGCCCCAAGACAACCTCAGAAGCCCACAAGAGAGCCCCCAGACGGCCCAAGAGGGGCCCAAGATGACCAAAGAGGCTCCCAAAAAGGGCCCAAGAGGGCACCAAGAGGGCCCCAAGAGGGGGAAATCGAAGTGACACTTTGCGCTCTGCGCCACACGTTGACGCCCGAGAACGCCATCAGGCCCCCAAGGGCCCCCCCAGAACCCCCTATAGGCCCCGAAGAGGTCCAAATCAGGCCCCAGGATGCCCCCAAGAGGCCCCGAGAGGCCCCAACACATGCAAAAACTGCCCCCAGAAGGCTTCCAACATGATGGACCCACGAACCCGGAAAGGGATATAGACATGCGCAGCATGGTCACGTTTTCACGATACCCAACTGGGCGACATCTCACAAAACATCCCACGAGACACCCCGCGAAACATCCCACGAGACACCTCGCGAAACATTCCACGAGACACCTCGCGAAACGTTCCACGAGACACCCCGCGAAACATTCCACGAGACACCCCACGAAACATTCCACGAGACACCCCACGAAACATTCCACGAGACACCCCACGAAACATTCCACGGGGGTGCGACTGGGTGTGGTCGTGCTGGGGTGTGGTCGTGCTGGGGTGTGGTCGTGCTGGGGGGGTGGTCGTGCTGGGGGGTGGTCGTGCTGGGGGGGTGGTCGTGCTGGGAGGTGGTCGTGCTGGGGAGTGGTCGTGCTGGGGCGTGGTCGTGCTGGGGCGTGATCGTGCTGGGGAGTGGTCGTGCTGTGGTGAGGTCGTGCTGGAGTGTGGTCGTGCTGGGGTGTGGTCTTGCTGGGGTGGGGCCGTGCTGGGGTGGGGTCGTGCTGGGGTGGGGTCCTGCTGGGGTGTGGTCGTGCTGGGGTGTGGTCGTGCTGGGGTGGGGTCGTGCTGGGGTGGGGTCGTGCTGGGGTGTGGTCGTGCTGGGGTGTGGTCGTGCTGGGGTGTGGTCGTGCTAGGGTGGGGTCGTGCTGGGGTGGGGTCGTGCTGGGGTGTGGTCGTGCTGGGGTGTGGTCGTGCTGGGGTGTGGTCGTGCTGGGGGGTGGTCGTGCTGGGGGGTGGTCGTGCTGGGGGTGGTCGTGCTGGGGCGTGGTCGTGCTGGTCGGCGTGGTCGTGCTGGGGCGTGATCGTGCTGGGGTGTGGTCGTGCTGTGGTGAGGTCGTGCTGGGGTGTGGTCGTGCTGGGGTGTGGTCTTGCTGGGGTGGGGCCGTGCTGGGGTGGGGTCGTGCTGGGGTGGGGTCCTGCTGGGGTGTGGTCGTGCTGGGGTGTGGTCGTGCTGGGGTGGGGTCGTGCTGGGGTGGGGTCGTGCTGGGGTGTGGTCGTTCTGGGGTGTGATCGTGCTGGGGTGTGGTCGTGCTAGGGTGGGGTGGTCGTGCTGGGGTGTGGTCGTGCTGGGGAGTGGTCGTGCTGGGGTGTGGTCGTGCTGGGGGGTGGTCGTGCTGGGGGGTGGTCGTGCTGGGGGGGTGGTCGTGCTGGGAGGTGGTCCTCAGAATTCAGGTCCCCAGGAGAGGACAATCTATAACACAAAACAAGCGTTTCGCTCGAGACATCCTCACCATTTTCTGAAAAACAAGCGTTTCGCTCGAGACATCCTCAAATTTTAATTCGCGGGCGCTCAAAAACAAGCGTTTCGCTCGAGACATCCTCAAATTTTAATTCGCGGGCTCGTTATTTATCAGGGAAAAATTCGCCGGCCTCCTTCGACCTCGTTATTTATCAGGGAAAAAATTCGCCGGCCTCCTTCAAGTTGGCACCGGGGGATTAGGTTTACCAACTAAAAGAGAACCCTGGGCTCGAGCCCTTTCCGGGAAAAAGAATTTCGAGAGATCCTTACAGGCACCCATGTGGCCTCTGACTTTCGACCTAGACACGGTGGCGGGACGGGCCGAAGGCCACTAGATGATCTCTCTCCACAGGCAAATCAAGATGCAACTATATACAGATCCACGAGATGGCAAAGGGGCAACGCGCCCCGTCGCGCGCACAGGGCCCTGACTACCCCCGACCCGAGCGCGCACACCCCGGCGCGCAATGCGGTCGGTCCCGGCACGCTGTTTTTGTGTGCTTGTTGTTTTTGTGTTTTGTTTTTCTCCTTCCGCGAAGCGAGAACGCGAATGCGAATTAGCAATGCGACCGACGATGAGGCGCGAGCCTGATTCAGTTTTTGCGTCGTGGCCAGCGCTGGGGCGAAAACCCCCTAGGCACGAGCGCCCGAGGAGTGTGTTGGCACAGAGGCGCGAACACTAATCTGAGCCAAGATTATGGCTGGCGCTGGGACTGCGCAAAGTGCCCACCCCTGGTTGCAACGTCGCAGCGGAGGCGGGCGCCTGGCGCAGTGGAGGGAAAACGAGAACCAAACTCTACAGGACGCTGTGGAAAGTATGCGTAGCCCGGGGGGGAGGGAGTATGCGGAGGAAGGGACTGTGCCGGAGGAAAAGCAGGAGGAGAGGCAGGCCAGGGATCCAGTGTGCTGATTACTTCAGTGCTGAATTCCCGAAGTCCTGGCGCAAACGCCAGGGCCGGCTACTTCTCCTGAACAAGGCTAATTGCCCCCTGAGGCCGAAAGCGGGGGAACAACAAGCCTTCGCATTGCCGTTGTTTCTGACTCCTTGCGCTCTCGGGTGGGGATCGCTCGAAGCAAACTTGCCGGTAATCTTAGTCTGGACGGTCTTGTAGGACGTCTGTGAAGTCTCGGGGGCGAGCGGCGCCAATTCGCCGGCGGCTGGGCCTCCGAGACGAGCCGCCACGGGCAGGCTGTCCCTCGCTGCCCTCGGGCCGGCCGCCTGCGCCGCTCCGCTCGCCTGGGGCTCGACGCGGCGAGCCTCAGGAACGGGGGGGGGGAGGCAGGGGGAGGGGCGAGGGAGAGAAGGGAGAGGAGGAAGAGGAGGAAGAAGGGGAAGGAGGAGGAGGCGGAGGAGGAGGAGGAGGACTTGAGGTGGCATGGCTTTGAGAGGGGGGGAAAGCCATTCCTGTCGCCCTTTCAGCCTTCCCTTTCGACCTGTTAGCCTCTCCTTACCACCTTTCATCATATTATTTCAGCCTCTCAGCCTGTCGTCCTCGTCGTCCTCGCCATCTTAGTTCTTGCCGTCGTCGTCGTCCTTCCCTTCCAGCCATTCAATATCCCTGCTCAGCTATTCAGAGCGTCATTCCTTCCTTCTCCTTCCGTTTCAGCCGACCCTTGCAGCCGCCTGCCCCTGGTGCTGCTGATCCTCCCCCTGCTGTCTGCTACTGCTCGTCATCCTCGTCCTCCTTCCCCTTTCCTCCGACATGCAGAGCTGGCCAGCTCAAGACATCGACGTTTGCCAAGTACTCAAAAAGGCACGCTCCACACTTTTTCTGTGCTGGCGTCCGCCGCGCAACACAACACGCAACGCGAGCCATTCCTCACGTGATCAGCGGGGTGGCCTCGGCAGAAGATCCCCTCTGGAACCAACTGGCCAGGTACATTGCGGGTGGTACGAGCACTGCGACGAGGCCGAAAGCCATCGCGGCTATGGATATGTTGTAGCCGAGCAACTTCCAGAGCGTGCTCACGGAGCTCGAGCACTCCGCCAACATGTCCAGCACTGGGAACGTGAACATGCCCGCGAACAGGAAGAACATCCCACGACCCACAGAGTTGGTCAGGAAGCCCAGCTGCTGGCGGATTATGGCCATTGTGTACTCCAAACTGGTCAAGGTTTTCTCTCCTGGGTCCTGGTGCTCGTAGCCCAGAATCTCTGTGTATACCACCGCAGCAGCGGCGTAAAGGGATGCGGAAGCGAGCACCAAACCACCGACAATCCAATGCAATCGTACGAAGAACAACGCGCTCAAATCACACGAGTCCGTATTGGAAATCGGCCTGGTCATGAAGTATATACCTATGAGCGCAAAGCAGCAAGACAACGCCAACTGAAACCCTGCGACTACCCAGGCCGACGAAAAGTTGCAAGACGCCATGCCCAGGTTTGGGCACTGTTTCGATAAGCGCGTGAATGAAGTAGCTCGACGACTACGTCGAACACACCCTTCACTATGTAGAGGCGTGCTCACTTGAGCCGAAAAGGTTACGGCTGATGTGGCATGCGCTCCTGGGAGCTCTGCGTGGGTCCTGTCGGTCGCCCTCGTGGTCACTGTTGGGCCCAAATCGCTGGCATGCCTCTGACATGCTCTCGGAGGCAAACTTCTCCAGAAACAGCACGGGCGATCGGATGGTAGATGCAACAACATACAGGCGGAACGTGAGCAGCAATCACGACTCGTGGGCCAATCCAATTTTCCTTGGGCGCCTCGTCAATGTCATGGACATCTCATTGATGTGCATGCGTTTGTGCTGCCATTGTCATGCATGTTCCGTGGCGCTTATTCGCATTGCCCCGTTGGTATCTACGCGCGCGCGCTGCAAGTACACGTTCTGCTAGCAGCGTACCAAATACACTCTCAGCAGTCTAACGTCCTAGCAGCTCTCGAAACTCATCATTGTGGCAACGTGGCGGTGAGATCGATTCTTATGGCGCGCCCAACTTCGGACGTAATACAATCATCGTGCGACAGCGTTGAATGTGACCACCACCAAGGGCGCGAACAAACATGTCTGGCCCCCCAAACTGTCATGTTTCAACCTCTGGCCACCAAAAAAGCACGAACATACCAAATTCATTACAAGATCCGTGTGAAGGGTGCGCCGGGATTGGCGCGCAGACGCTGCATGAACGCCGGCCAATGGGGCCGTATGCGAAACTCGGGTGTGCTGAGATGGGTGCGGAGACGCCGTAGGAGCGCACGATTCGCGTGAGGGTGTACCGAAATGGGCCTGTGGGAAACCTTGGGTCTCTCTGTACCACTTTGGATTCCCATTGGGCTGTCAATGGCTCTCTTTTTGCCCTCTTTTGCCGCCTTGGGATGCTTTGGGGGTCTCTCGAGCTTATACTTTTGCGCGCGAGCGCCTCTGTTTGAGCCTAGACGAGTGTGCCATGGCCATGCTCACGGACGCTTTGCGCTGATCTGTGAAAACTCAACGCGCATGCCACGCATCGCTGGGATCCTTAGGAGTGCTCGGCCCCAGTGAGCCCCTACCAACAGGCCTTTCCAAGGCCAACAACTATGAGGTCGACGCCCGGAGATCTGAAGGGACTCGACAACATCACACAGAGCTGCTGGTGAACCCATCCCAAGATGACACGAACCCGCGGCGTCAACGATCCACTATAGACAACGCGCGCGCGAAGAAACAAGCGCGTTAACAGGCAGAGGCCACCGCGCGCTTCGACATGAATCCGTGGAAGCCAAGTCTAGAGCAACAAGCAATATTCGGAGGTCCACTCTCATTCTTGCGTCGGCGCCAAGCCCCCGTATCACTGACGCGCGAAGCGCGCCAGGGGAGGCGACGTAGACGCCGCGGCGGCGTGTCCAGCGACGACCAAAAATGTGTACGCGGACTTCTGAAACATTATCAGTGTAACTCTCCTGCTCCGCAGCACGTACAAAGACCGCCCTGCGTTCGACACGACTCTCCTGAAGCCCCGTCGGGCCCCCCGACCACCTCATAGGATTTCAGACATAAGTTTACTTAGCAATTGCATGGAATGGCTTGCAGATGCGCGGGAGGCAACAGCCAAATCTCGCGCTGCCATGGCAGCCTGAATAGAAGGTCGACGCTGCCATCAAAACAGGCCAGAATTCGCGCGCGCCGCTGCGTCTGCAACGGACGCGCGCATGCTGATTGCCTCTCAGTCTCGTCAACGCTGCCGCTGCTCCAATAGACGATTGTAACACATGACGCGTATAAAGCGCGACTATCGTTGTGTACGCACCAGAAACCGACGGCCCACAGGCTGGGTTCGCGCGGGGCCTGCGCGGTGTCCACGCTGGTCACGCGAGGGGCTTGCGTCGGGCTCAATCGGAGTCGCGCGGGTTTCGCCCGGGGCTTGCGTCGGGCCCCGCCAGATTCGCGCAGGGCCCGTACGAACCCAGCGCTGGCCCCACGTGAGACTGCGCGAGTCGCCCAACCCGGCGCGAGCCTCAGGCACGCCCCACTCAAGCCAAACGCAAGCCCCACGCGAGCACTACGCGAGAGCCACGGAGCCCCTCGCGAGCATGACGCGAGCCCACACGAGCTCCACGCGAGCCCCAAGCAAGCCCCCACGTGGCCCCGAGAAGCCCTCAAGAAACCCAAAAGACAGGCCCAGAAGCTTCCCAAGCACCCCAACAGCCTCCGAATATGCTCCGCCAACCTACGACGGGCCACATAATCGCACGATAATCGTGACGCTGTATACAAATGCTCCCCAGGCAGCGCTTGCACTGAGGAGGCCGTACTTCTCCTGTTCGCTAGTTGGATGGTCGCGGCGGAGTGTCGCCCGTTGGGCGCCCGTGGGCACCTCGTGGGCGCCTCGAGCACTGGGTGGGCATGGTGAAGTTTCGGCTGGTGGGCGCCCGTGGGCGCCCCACGGGCGCCTCGTGCGCTGGGTGGGCGCGGCGAAGTCTCGCCTGGCGGGCGCCCGCGGGAGCCTCGTGGGCGCCTCGCGCGCAAGCCGGTTGGTGGGGTTCGCCTGGCGGGCGTCCGTATGTTCCCTGTGGTCGCCCAGAGAGCTTGCGCCAGCTTGAAGGTACCATGTAGATTCCCCTTTCTTAAAAGAGAGTGGTAGATCCGACCCCCCCCCCGAACATGATCGGTACCCTGTTTCGTATTGCAACTGACGTACAAGTCCGCCCCATCGTCCATCCGAAATATGAACTCGTACCATCCCGGGCAGGCTCACATCGACACCCCCCGTCATCGTTAGCACAAGAATGCTATGCGCGCGCACTCGTTGATCGAAAACCATCAATGTTCAAGAACCCTTTGTAACACATGAAACGACGTGCGCACGAGCGCGCGTCGTCTCGCGCGCATGCCGAAATCGCTCAAGAACGTCAGGTTTTGTCATAATTTCAAAATCGGGTGTCCAACAAACATAGAAAACACCCACGGTTCCGCAAGACGGAATCTCAAACAAAAAATGGTGCGCGTTTTTGCAAATTCTGTGGTAAACCATGGGTCGTGTCACAATTGTCAACGCATGCTGCCAAACGGGCTTCGCGCGCGCATGTCGAAATCGTTCGAACGCCCTTTGCGCGCGTGTTGTCGCGAGAACCCTCTCGCAAAACATCGAACGAAGTGCACGCCCGCGCGTTATCGCGCGCGTGTGCCAAAACCCGTCAAAAAGATAGGCCCCGTAAAGATGTCAAAACCGAATGTCGCGAAACCGTGCAACATAAAAACGTATGACTTCGCAACACCAGTTTTCCAAAAAAAACGTGCGCTCGTTCTCTTGCGAAGTCTTAGGACACCCATCGGTTCTTCAACATGTTCATTTCATTCTGCCAAGCGGGCCTTTCGCGTCGCATGCCAAAATCACTCGAACGCCCTTGCGCGCGCGCTGCGGGGGCACGACCCGTGCCAAATTCGCTGGCCCAACGGGCCAGAGGCGTGCCAAGATCTCCGGTAACTGGTAAACAGTATTTCTAGTTCGCGCGCGCGGGGCGGCCCCTGGGGGTCCCTGGATCAAAAGCACCCCGGGCGGAGCCCGGGACACGCCCCCAGATCCTCCAGGATCGCCCCAAGAGGGCCCCAAGAGGCCCCCAACACAATCCAAGAGAGGTCCGAGACGCCCGAAGATCGCTCCACGGCGCCCAAGATGGCCCCCAGACGGCCCAAGACGTCTCCAAGATGACCCAACAAGCCTCCAAGATGCCCCAAGAGACCTCCAGGAGCACCCCCAAGAGGGCACCAAGAGGAAAAAACCTGTGATTTTCCCTTGGTGTTGGACAGATTTGGGCGTTTCAACCTTTTCGGTTCCCCGACGCTCCTAAACGGCTCAAGAGGCCTCCAAGATCGCCCCAAGAGGGCCCAAGAGGCCCTCAAAAGGGCCCCAAGACGGCCCAAGACGGCTCCAAGACGGCCCCAGAGGCCTCCAAGACGGCCCAAGAGGGCCCCAAGAACGCCCCCAACACGGTCCAAGAGAGGTCCGAGACGCCCGAAGATCGCTCCACGACGCCCAAGATGGCCTCCGGACGGCCCAAGACGTCTCCAAGATGGCCCAAGAAGCCTCCAAGATGCCCAAGAGGCCTCCAAGAGAACTCCCAAGAGGGCCCCAAGAGGCAAACACCTGTGATTTTCCTTTGGTGTTGGACAGATTTGGGCGTTTTAACCTTTTCGGTTCCCCGACGCCCCTAAACGGCTCAAGAGGCCTCCAAGATCGCCCCAAGAGGGCCCAAGAGGCCCCCAAGAGGGCCCCAAGACGGCCCAAGACGGCCCCTGAGGCCTCCAGGACGGCCCAAGAGGGCCCCAAGAACGCCCCCAACACTACACAGCTCCCGACGCCGCAGCTCCACACTGCAAACGACCACTCGGACAGGCGACCACGGTGCGACATTATGGGCCGGCGGAATGAGCGAAGCGATTAAATAATACCATTCGAACAATTCTCGCGCGCCGGCCGCGCGAGCATGTCGAACTCCACCCATAAACTCCATCACCGACGTGAGGACGCCGTCATCGTCGTCGGCGTGATCAGCATCGGCACCGTCACTGGCTGTGCCGTCGTCGTTTTCATCATCGCCACCAGCATCGCTACTATCATCATCGTGTCTCCTGTTGTCGACGTTGCCATGGTACCGCGCCCGCTCAAGTCGCCGACTCGCACTGAAGCGCCCGCTAGGATGTGCCCGGCTCGCGCGGCCGCAGAGATGCACCATTCAACACCAAACGCTCGCGGCAGTCGCCGCCGCTCGAGTTTTGCAAGGCCAGTTGCGGGTGGGTGGGTGGGATGACTGCGCGCGCAGTGTGGTCGACAATTGCGAGTTCCACAAGTGAGTTGCACTACGTTGATTGAAACACGCAGGTCTTGTCGCACCGCTAGCACCAGGCAGCTCGCATCCCATAGCCTGCACCACATTGCGTGGACCAGGCCCCCAGACAGTTCCAAGAAAACTCCAAGTAACCTCATTACGTCTTTAATTTTGGCCCCCCCCCCCCTGGAGCTCTCCGCGGTGAATAAACTCGTCCCGAAACTCGCCCTCTCCCGAAATCTCTCCTCCTCCTCAAATAGCAGCTCTCGCCTTAGCGCCGCGCACATTCGTTTTAAAAGCATGCAACAGCTTCAAGGATGGAGGGCTCGTGTTGTTCAAAGTGCAGATCTCGCCTTAGCGCCGCGCATGTTCGTCTCAAAAGCTTGCAACAGCTTCAAGGATGGAGGGCTCGTGTTGTTCAAAGTGCAGATCTCGCCTTAGCGCCGCGAACATTCGTCTTAAAAGTTTGCAAAAGCTTCAAGGATGGAGGGCTCGTGTTGTTCAAAGTGCAGCCCTCGCCTCAGCGCGATGGAGGGCTCGCGTTGTTCAAAGTGCAGATATCGCTTTAGCGCCGCACACATTCGTCATAACAGTTTGCAACAGCTTCAAGGATGGAGGGCTCGTGTTGTTCAAAGTGCAGATCTCGCCCCAGTGCCGCGCACATTCGTCTTAAAAGTTCGCAACATGTTCAATTGATTGGCTCGAACACAAAATCGCGGCCGAAAACAAAACATTTGCCCGCTATTGTTCGCTGCCGCATGGGCAACCCTACACGCGTGAGGATGTTTGAGGACATTCGTAAGACGGTTGTACTGTAGAATTGTTGTTCGGAATTCTTGAAGTGGTTCCTGCTCGCGCTGTCTTGGAGGTGTCTTGGAGCCATCATGAAAAGATTATGAAACCATCGCGGCCGAAACCAACATATGTGCCCGCTATTGTTCGCGCGGGCGCTGTTGTCTGGGGGGTGCTCCTCCCAGGGAATAATGCCGCATGGGCAACCCTACACGCGTGAGGATGTTTGAGGACTTTCGTAAGACGGGTGTTTTGAGGAAAACAGTTACAAGGATGGAGGGCGCATGTCGATCAAAGTGCAGCTCTAGCTGTAGCGCCGCGCACTCTCGTCTTAAAAGTTGGCAGCAGTTTCAAGGATGGAGCGCGCATGTTGCTCAAAGTGCAACTCTCGCCTTAGCGCCGTGCACTCTGGCTGTAAAAGTTTGCATTCGTTTCAAGGATAGAGGCCGCACGTTGATCAAAGTGCAGCTCTCGTCTCAGCGCCACGTGCATTCGTCTGAAAAGTTTGCGCCAGTTACAAGGATGGAGGGCTGGTGTGGTTCAAAGTGCAGCTCTCGTCCCAGCGCCGCGCACTCTCGTCTTAACAGTTTGTGACAGTCACAGTGATCGAGGGCTGGTGTGGTTCAAAATCCAACTCTCGCCTTAGCGCCGTGCACATGCGTCTTCGTATTCGTCGTCGCATCGCTGTCGTAGTCGCAATCGCACACGCACTCGTTATCGTCTTCGTCTTCGTCTTCGTCGTCGGACCGCCCGAACTATAATTACTTTCCGCTATTGTCGGGCGGGGTCGTTTCTCCGAGTTGTCAATACATTCGCCCGAAAGATATTCATTTTCCATCTAATCTACTGGCCAGGGGATTTTTCAAGACTTAAAGGGGCTATGGCCGAGCAGGGGCCCCTCAAAGCCTTCAATCCATCGTTTGGAGCCCTCTTGGGAACACGTTTGGGCCGACTTGCAACTTACCTCTGTTCCCAAGGGCTGCGGCAGCTCGGGAGGGCCTGAGACAGCCCCGAGAGAACTCCAATCCCACGGGTGGCCAAAACAAGCCCCCAACCATAGTATGCCAAGGACCAGCCTTGGTATGATAACGTTGGGGCCCCCTTGGGGTCCCTCCTGCGGGCCGTCCCCTCTCAACCGCGGCCCGGGAGGGCCTCAGACAGCCCCGAGATAGCCCCACGAAGGGTTCGAGAGCTCCCCAAGAGGTCCTTCGGTAATGGCATCCCAAAGGGCGCTCATGGATGCCACTGTCGAAGGCGCCCTCTTGGGGGCAGCCATGGAGGCCGTCTCAAAGCCCTTTCCGGGCCTTCCTGGAGCCTTTCTCTGGCCCCGACGATGGTCTGGGAGGGCCACGGACAACCTCGGTGCTGCTCGACAGGCGCGCCGCCTGAAATCCATGAACCAAAAGCAGCAGCGTGGAATGGGGATTCCCCGCTGCAATGTCCCGGCGGAGAACCGTGGGGAATGCCCGGAAACCGCGAGCAAGACATCCACGTTCACGCCCAAATCTTCCTACACATGCTCCTCCTCCACCTCCTCCCCATCCTCCCCGTCCTCATCCTTTTCATTTTGCTGATGGTGTGCTGCCACCGCCTCCTGAGCCCCCCGCCTCCACTGCGTCTTCCTCCTCCTCCTCCTCCTCCTCCTCATCCTCCTCATGGTTCCTGGCCCTCCGTCTTCCCATCGCGCCACTGGTCGTCCTCCACCAGTGGCACCTGCTCCTGCACCTCCTCAAACACCCCCACACATGCATCCCCCTACCCATCTCTTTCTCCTCCTCCTCCTCGTCCCCCTCCTCCTCCTGGCCAGCCTGCCCGCAATTCGCTTTCCTCCTCATCGTCCTCCTCCTCTCCTCCTCCTCCTCCTCCTCCTCCTCGTCCCCCTGCTCCTTCACCACGTCATCCTTCTCCTTTGCCTGTTCCCTTTCCTCCTCCTCCTCCTCCTTCCCCTCCTTCCCCTCCTCCTCCTCGTCCTGCTCCTCCTTTTCGTCTTCTCCTCGTATGTCTCCTCGTGTGTCTCCTCCTCCTCCTCCTCCTCCGCATCCTCCTAATCCTCCTGCTCCTCCTCGCTCTCCTCCACCTCCTCCTCCTCCCCTTCCCCTCTTCCTCCTCCTCCTCCTCCTCCTCCTGCTCCTCCTCCCCCTCCTCCTGCTCAGCGTTCTCTTCGTCCTCCCCGTCCCTCTCGCGCAGCCCGAGAAAAACATGATGGACCCACGAACCCGGAAAGGGATATAGACATGTGGAGCATGGACACGTTTTCACGATACCCAACTGGGCAACACCTCACGAAACATCCCACGAGACACTTCACGAAACATCCCACGAGACACCCCACGAAACATTCCACGAGACACCTCACGAAACATTTCCACGAGACACGAAACATTCCACGAGACACCCCACGAAACATTCCACGACGACAGGCAACCACTCAACCAAGGCGGTGTGGTCGTGCTGGGGAGTGGTCGTGCTGGGGTGTGGTCGTGCTGGGGGTGGTCGTGCTGGGGGGTGGTCGTGCTGGGGGGTGTCGTGCGTGGCTGGTCGTGCGTGGTCGTGCTGGGGCGTGGTCGTGCTGGGGCGTCGTGCGTGCTGGGGCGTGGTCGTGCTGGGGCGTGGTCGTGCTGGGGTGTGGTCGTGCTGTGGTGAGGTCGTGCTGGGGTGTGGTCGTGCTGGGGTGTGGTCTTGCTGGGGTGGGGTCGTGCTGGGGTGGGGTCCTGCTGGGGTGTGGTCGTGCTGGGGTGTGGTCGTGCTGGGGTGGGGTCGTGCTTGGGTGGGGTCGTGCTGGGGTGTGGTCGTTCTGGGGTGTGGTCGTGCTGGGGTGTGGTCGTGCTAGGGTGGGGTCGTGCTGGGGTGGGGTCGTGCTGGGGTGGGGTCGTGCTGGGGTGTGGTCGTGCTGGGGTGTGGTCGTGCTGGGGCGTGGTCGTGCTGGGGTGGGGTCGTGCTGGGGTGGGGTCGTGCTGGGGTGTGGTCGTGCTGGGGTGGTCCGCACCATGTGATTTATCGATCGGGTCGTGCTGGGGTGTGGTCGTGCTGGTGCTGGGGTGTGGTCGTGCTGGGGTGTGGTCGTGCTGGGGTGTGGTCGTGCTGGGGCGTGGTCGTGCTGGGGCGTGGTCGTGCTGGGGCGTGGTCGTGCTGGGGTGTGGTCGTGCTGTGGTGAGGTCGTGCTGGGGTGTGGTCGTGCTGGGGTGTGGTCTTGCTGGGGCGTGCTCGTGCTGCGGTCGGGTCGTGCTGGGGTGTGGTCGTGCTGGGGTATGGTCGTGCTGGGGTGGGGTCGTGCTGGGGTGGGGTCGTGCTGGGGTCTGGTCGTGCTGGGGTGTGGTCGTGCTGGGGTATGGTCGTGCTAGGGTGGGGTCGTGCATTTCGCTCGAGACATCCTGCCAAAATTCCAGGAAATCGTACAAAAACAAACGAATTAGTCGAGACATCATCGAAATTCCTTCGCGCGGGGCGCTTTTCCGCGTCGCGGTCGGCTCTGCAAAACCAGCGTTTCGCTTGAGACATCCTCAGCAAATTCTGAAAACAAGCGTTTCGCTCGAGACATCCCCAACTCTGCAAAACCAGCGTTTCGCTCGAGACATCCTCACCATTTTCTGAAAAACAAGCGTTTCGCTCGAGACATCCTCAAATTTTAATTCGCCGGCCTCCTTCGACCTCGTTATTTATCAGGGAAAAAATTCGCCGGCCTCCTTCAAGCAGGCACCGGGGGACATGTTTACATACTAAAAGAGAACCCTAGGCTTAAGCCCTTTCCGGGAATAACGGGGCGGGCGCCTCGGACGCGCGGTGGGCACGGCGAGCACGCGCCAACGACGGGCGGTTGCGGATGCGCGCGCCCGCGGCCGGGCTGAAACGTATCGCCGTGTTGCGATTGCGGCTGCGCGGGCGGGTAAAAATGCGCCGCCCGGTTGCGGGCGGTTGCGCGGGCGATTTGACATGTGTCGCTTGGTTGCGGTTGCGATTGCGGTTGCGCGGGCGGATTGGAATGTGTCACCTGGTTGCGGTTGCGGTTGCGTTTGCGCGGACGGGTTGAAATGTGTCGCCTGACTGCGGTTGCTGTTGCGGTTGGGCGGGCTGGTTAGAATCTGTCGCCTGGTTGCGGTTGCGGTTGTGGTTGCGCGGGCGGGTTGAAATGTGTCGCCTGGTTGCGGTTGCGGTTGCGGTTGCGCGGGAGGGTTGAAATGTGTCGCCTGGTTGCGGTTGCGGTTACGGTTGCGGGGGCGTTTTTTTTTTTTTTTTTTTTTTTTGTTGCGTTGTTGCGGGCTGAGTCGACCCCCAAGGCCAGCACAGTCGTCACCTCCAGGCCTCGGAGGGCCACGGCCATCGTCGGTATCAGTCTCTCGAGCGCGTGCGAGGTTTGACCAGCAGAGCCTGTCTGGTACCCGTGCGGCATTGATGCCAACAACTTGTCTACCGAATGCAAAATAATCCCGTGCATCACGGCATCCTGGCGAGCCCAATAGCACGATCCAGCAAGTACGCGCAGCTGTTGATATGGAACGTCAAACGGCACGAGGGGCTGCATCATATGCCACGTGCTCCTCAAAGACTCAACTTCCTCTAGATGTCTCCCAAATACCATTGCCGGGTCCAATTTGACCCCTGACCCATTCACAATGGGCACCCACCGTGGAACGAATACCGTATGCTGAGAGCCTACCATGCCAATAGCCTGGGACTGCCGCAAACTTGTGTACACTCTGTGGGTATGCCGTTTTCCGCAGAGGTTATCCAAGTACAGCCGCCTCGATGCAGTATCAGTCTTGGTGTGAATCTTCAAAAAAAAGTCATAATGCTTATCCGGGGGTTCCTGGCTCAGCACCTGGAGCTGACGCAGGTAGGGGCCGATGTCCGCTCCCTTGTTTTCCACCCTGATGCTCCTGACGGCAGCACTGCCAAACACACCCCGCGCGATCTCCTCGACCTTTGCGGTATCTTCCTCGGGGATCTCGTCATGAAAAGACAAGAAGACCTGAAATCCGTGATCCAAAACCTTCATAACACGCGATACGGACAACATGCACACCTTCAAATCTGGCCAAAAGCTCAGATTACCGATCTGCGCGAGTACTGTCACCCCCGGTGGACTCGTGGCACGTGGGCTGGTAGGGACGGCGTGGTCAACTGGCAACCTGTATATTATCTCGAGCTCCTTAGCATAAGCGGTGTGCATTGGAGGCCCACCATACAGCTCGTACATGGCGTAGACTGATGGGTTGCCGCTGTCAAGCTGCCACTGCACCAGGTGCTCGACGCTAACGTTGAAGCGCCAGCCCTTCGAACGCCACCAGGCGCTCACCAACTCGATGCCGTCGGGCAGCACCACCGAGTCATTCTCCGCGAGCACGACGCGCTCGACGCCGGCTCTGGCCGACGGCGGAGGCGGCAGCGCGGCCGGCCAAGACGGCGCCTCGGCCTGGACAGGAGGCTGCGCCAGAGCGGGCGCCGGCGCGGGCGCCGGCGCGGCGGGCGCTGGGAGGGAGGGCGCCAGGCTATTTTTTGTTGCGTTGTTGCGGGCTGAGTCGACCCCCAAGGCCAGCACAGTCGTCACCTCCAGGCCTCGGAGGGCCACGGCCATCGTCGGTATCAGTCTCTCGAGCGCGTGCGAGGTTTGACCAGCAGAGCCTGTCTGGTACCCGTGCGGCATTGATGCCAACAACTTGTCTACCGAATGCAAAATAATCCCGTGCATCACGGCATCCTGGCGAGCCCAATAGCACGATCCAGCAAGTACGCGCAGCTGTTGATATGGAACGTCAAACGGCACGAGGGGCTGCATCATATGCCACGTGCTCCTCAAAGACTCAACTTCCTCTAGATGTCTCCCAAATACCATTGCCGGGGCCAATTTGACCCCTGACCCATTCACAATGGGCACCCACCGTGGAACGAATACCGTATGCTGAGAGCCTACCATGCCAATAGCCTGGGACTGCCGCAAACTTGTGTACACTCTGTGGGTATGCCGTTTTCCGCAGAGGTTATCCAAGTACAGCCGCCTCGATGCAGTATCAGTCTTGGTGTGAATCTTCAAAAAAAAGTCATAATGCTTATCCGGGGGTTCCTGGCTCAGCACCTGGAGCTGACGCAGGTAGGGGCCGATGTCCGCTCCCTTGTTTTCCACCCTGATGCTCCTGACGGCAGCACTGCCAAACACACCCCGCGCGATCTCCTCGACCTTTGCGGTATCTTCCTCGGGGATCTCGTCATGAAAAGACAAGAAGACCTGAAATCCGTGATCCAAAACCTTCATAACACGCGATACGGACAACATGCACACCTTCAAATCTGGCCAAAAGCTCAGATTACCGATCTGCGCGAGTACTGTCACCCCCGGTGGACTCGTGGCACGTGGGCTGGTAGGGACGGCGTGGTCAACTGGCAACCTGTATATTATCTCGAGCTCCTTAGCATAAGCGGTGTGCATTGGAGGCCCACCATACAGCTCGTACATGGCGTAGACTGATGGGTTGCCGCTGTCAAGCTGCCACTGCACCAGGTGCTCGACGCTAACGTTGAAGCGCCAGCCCTTCGAACGCCACCAGGCGCTCACCAACTCGATGCCGTCGGGCAGCACCACCGAGTCATTCTCCGCGAGCACGACGCGCTCGACGCCGGCTCTGGCCGACGGCGGAGGCGGCAGCGCGGCCGGCCAAGACGGCGCCTCGGCCTGGACAGGAGGCTGCGCCAGAGCGGGCGCCGGCGCGGGCGCCGGCGCGGCGGGCGCTGGGAGGGAGGGCGCGGCAGGGCGCTGGCCGAGGCCGACGTGCAGGGCGAGGCCGATGGCGAGGCCGAGGGCGAGCCCCGCGAGGAACGCGGGCGCCGCGCGAGGCCCGAGGCCGCGCGCGCCGCCGGGGGGCGGCGGCGGCCCCGCGGCGGGGGCCCGAGGTGCGGAGGCGGGCGCGCTCCGCGCGCGCGGCGCGCAGAGCAGGTCGGTGTCCGAGTCCTCGTCCTCGTCCTCGCCGCTCTGGCTGGCGTCGCCCGCCGGAGCGCCCACGGCGGCCGCGGCGGGCGACGCCATGGCAGCCCGCGCCCGGGCCAGGCGCGGCCCGGGCCAGCACGGCGCGAGCCCGGGAGCCCACGTCTTGAGCCAAAATGGCTACGGATTACGGTTGCGGGGGCGGGTTGAAACTGCGCGGCCGGGCTGAAATGTGTCACTTGGTTGCGGTTGCGGTTGGGCGCGCGGGCGGGTTGAAATGTGTCGCCTGGTTGCGGTTGCGGTTGCGTTTGTGCTGCTGGCTTAAAATGTGTCGCCTGGTTGCGGTTTGTTTGCGTTTGCGCGGACGGGTTGAATCTCTCGCCTGGTTGCGGTTGCGGTTGCGCCGGCGGATTGAAATGTGACGCCTGGTGCGGATGCGGATGCGGTTGCGCGGGACTGGTTGAAATGTGTCGCTTGGTTGCGGTTGCGGTTGCGCGGTTGCGCGGGCGGGTTGAAATGTGTCACCTGGTTGCGGTTGCGGTTGCGGTTGCGCGGGAGGGGTTGAAACGTTTCGCCTGGTTGCGGTTGAGGTTGCGCGGAAGGGGTTGAAACGTTTCGCCTGGTTGCGGTTGCGGTTGCACGGTTGCGCGGGCGGGTTGGAATGTGTCACCTGGTTGCGGTTGCGGTTGCGTTTGCGCGGGAGGGTTGCAATGTATCGCCTGACTGCGGTTGAGGTTGCGCGGAATTTTTTTTCCCGAAATTTATGATCAGTCAACGACTGTTGAGGTTGCGCGGAAGGGGTTGAAACGTTTCGCCTGGTTGCGGCTGCGGTTGCGCGACCAGGCTGAAATTAGTCGCCGGGTTGCGGTTGCGGTTGCGATTGCGCGGGCGGGTAGAAATGTGTCGCCTGGTTTCGGTTGCGGTTGCGGTTGCGCGGGCGGGTTGAAATGTGTCGCCTGCCTGCGGTTGCGGTTGCGATTGCGCAGGCGGGTTGAAATGTGTCGCCGGGTCGCGGTTGCGGTTGCGATTGCGCGGGCGGCTTGAAATGCGTCGCCTGATTGCGGTTCTGTTTGCGCTTGCGCGACCGGGTTGAAATGTCTCGCCTGGTTCCGGTTGGGCGCTCCCGCGGGCGGCTTGAAATTTGTTGTCAGACGTGCTCTCTTGACGTTCAATCAGTCAGTCAATCAGTCTGTCAGTCAATTTCACCCGCCTCCGCCAAGAAAGCCCTAACAGATGCTCCCGTTGTTTTTTGAAACAGGGAAACCTGTTCCCCCCCACATCCAAAGTGGGGTTCTTGTTTTCTCTAGACACCCCGCGCAAGAACAAGAGAACACACCCTCTCCTCTTCTCTAATCGCACACTCATTCACTCAATTACTCACACACAGCATCACTCACACTCACTCACTCGCACTCTCACTCACCCACTCACACTCACTCACACTCACTCACTCACTCGCCCACTCACGCACACTTACACACACTCATCATCATCATCATCATCATCATCATCATCATCATCATCATCATCATCATCATCATCATCATCATCATCATCATCATCACCACTCGCTTACGCACTCACGCACTCATTCACCAACCTACTCGCCCACTCACTCACTTACTCACTTACACTCTCATCCTCATCATCACCATCAACTGCATTATCACCATCATCATCATCATCGTCATCATCAGATTCGATCAATCACTCATTCATTCATTCACTCATCCATCTCAGGCGGGAGTTTCGTCTGTGAGTGGGTTGCGAGAGGGTCTCAAGCGGGAGCCCCCGCCCTATGGGGCCAGCAGCTCACGTGAGTAATCCGAGGGGCATCAGAATCTTGTACCTGTCGTCATTCTTGGCTTCTTCGAGCTTGATTATGGCGGAAGTCTCAGGTGGTAGGCTCGTCTGTGTGTGAAGTGCGAGGACGTCTCAGGCGGGAGCCTCCCCCTTATGGGACCCGCAGAACATGTTATTACTCCGAGCGGGTCATCAGAACCCTGTAACTCCCGTCGCTCTTAGGCTCCTGAGGCCTGAATACTTGGGACGTATCGGGCGGGAGCCTCGTCTGTGAGCGAATGGCGAAGAAGTCTCTGGCCGGAGCCCCGTCTCTATGGGGCCCGCAGATCATGTTATTAATCCAAGCGGGTCATCGGAACCCTGTGCCTGTCGTCATTTTCGGGATTCTGCGGCTTGAAGGTGGAGGAAGTAGCAGGCGGGAGCCTCGTCTGCGAGCGAAGTGCAAGGATGTCTCAGGCGGGAGCCTCCTCCTTATGCGGTCCGAAGATCATGTTACTAATCCGAGCGGGTCATCGGAACCTTGAAGCTCTCGTCACTCATGGCTTGTGGTATCTGCATGAGGGGGAAGTGTCAGGCGGGAGCCTCGTCTGTGAGTGAATTGCGAGGAAGCGTAAGGCGGAACCTCCCCCCTATGTGGCCCGCACATCATGTTACTAATCCGAGCAGGTCACCGGAACCCTGTAACTGTCGTCACCTTTGGGCTCCTGAGGCCTGGGCATTTGGGGGGTATGAAGCGGGAGCATCTTCTGTGAGTGAATTGCGAGGAAGTCTCAGGTGGGAGCCGCATCTGCGCGTGAATTGCGACGAAGTCTCAGGCAGGACCCTCCTCCTTGTGTGGCCTGCAGATCATGTTTTCAATCCAAGCAGGTCATCGGAACCCTGTAGCTGTCGTCACTCTTGGACTCCTGCGGCCTGAAATTGTGGGAAATATCGGGCGGCAGCCTCGTCTGTGAGTGAATTGAAAGGAAGTCTGAGGCAGGAGCCTCCTCCCTATGGGGCCCGCAGATCATGCTGTTCATCCGAATGGTCAAGGAAGAGAAGGAGGAGAAAGAGGAGGCAGAAGAGCAAGAGGATAAATGCAACGAGTAGGACGACAATGAACAGGAGGAGGAGAAGGATGAGAAGGAGGAGGACGCAGAGGGCGGAAAGAAGGCCTCCGCCAGTCGAAGAAGAAAAGGGCGAGGGACAATCTACATATATTCTCATGTGGGGTTGAAGAAGTGTTTCGTGCCGAAAGGGCAATGGATGCATATGCAATCGATGCAACTGCTTATGCTACAATACACTCACAGAAGCATGAGCAGAGAGGGTATTTCAACACCCCTCCTCGCTACAAGCTGGACTGTACTCCAGATTGCAGCACCTGGCACGACTCTGTAGCCGTCTCAAGGTAGTGGAGCGTGGCGATCCGCCCAAGCTTAGTGTAGCGAAGCGCGCAGTAGCGAAGCTCAGTGCTGTGCGGGGCCACCCGCATTCAGAAAGGTTGCGGTGTTGAGCTGTCGCGGGGCTACCCGCAGATCAGCTCTGGCTGGTTGGGCGTCTCCGTGTCCACCACCCAGCAGGATCAGCGGGGCTACCCGCTACCACGTCGCAGCTCGTCAGCATACGAGGTGTTTCCCTGCTGATGCCCTTCCGTCGCGGAAGTCGTGGCCAATGCTTTTCATGTGGCCGTCGATCTCTTTCCGCGATAGCGGTTTCGTCAGTAGGTCTGAGCAGTTCTCTTTGGTCCCGATCTTTCCTAACGCCAGATGTCGCATGGCAATGCGTTCCTGGACCCACAGGTACCGAGTTTGGATGTGCTTCAGCTTGCCCACACCCCGCCGGGAAGAGAACCCCCGGGCGGCTGAGGAGTCAGAGACTACCCTCACGGTGGACGAAACGTTCCAATCGTCTAGAATACCTTTGATCCCGAGCCCTGTGCAAGCGCCTACGCTGATTGCGTAGTATTCGTTTTCTCCAGAAGAAAGACCGATAACTTGCAACAAGTTGCACCCGTGTTTCACGCAATGCCTCCCTATGAACGCCACCTATCCGACTGTAGACCTCCTGGATATCTTATCCCCTGCGTTGTCTGAATCCACCATCACGAGGATCTTGACAGGTTCGCCAGCCGTAATACTTAGATCGCGCCTGTACGTCTGAACAACCCGCGGGCGACCTTTCAGATACCTCCCGAGTCTCTTTAGCCGAACCATGTCCACCTGCCGTGGGGACTGCATGTGCTTCGCTAGGTTCTTGACTGCATCACCGAGATCAGCTCTGTCAGGCGAAAGATATGCAGCTCGCATGGTGACGCTCCTGTAACGCTTCACCTCTTCACCTACGAGAAGAGGAGATGTCTCTCGTTCCTGCTCGTCTGCTTCCTCCTTCTTGAGTCCTGGCGTGTCCAGGGCCCAGGGACTTCGCAGAACTTCCTCCTAAACCGAGCTCCCTCGCGATCATGTCTGCGCGTCGCTCGTCGCCGGGGCTGCCCGCGACCCTGAGCACCCCGTTTAAGAAGATCACTTCCTGCTCCTCTCCAGTGCCCAGCTTGAGGTTTCCTGTCGCCTTCAGGTCATACTTAGGCCTAATCGTCTTCTCGATCTGGTCTAGCGCCGAATCATCACCCAGTGCACAAAAGTCATCTCCGTGTACTAACGAGCGGCAATCACCCCGACTGTTGTAGAACAGCGCTGGGTTGGCTCTGCCCGCCACGTGACCATCACTCTCTAACGCCCCTGTGTAGTCGCGCTGCCAGATTGCTGACGCGTCTTGAGTCCCATACATGGACTTCTTTAGTAATCCACAATGGATTCCGTCTTGCTCCTGCTCTGGGAGCTCTATGTACACAGGCCTCTCCGCCTTGCCATAGAAGTGAGCACGGGAGATGTCGAATAATCGCATTCCGAGGGGCTGCCCTCTGGAACTGACCCTTTCCTGGACCATCCTGGCGCTAAGGATCTTCACCGCCTCCAGGGGCGGCATTGCCGAGAAGAGTAAGGCTGCCGGCAGCGCCCGGCCCTCTTCGCCTTTACCCCGCTTCTCGCGGACAACAATCCTCGATCTGTAGTTGGGTCGTTCGTTGTCGCCCCTGTTCGTGTCTATCCAAAGCAGCTTTATTGGATTGGCCCCGGTGACCTCCCTGCACTCCTGCAGTGGCCGTTTCTCGTGCACCTCTTGCCGGTGCAACCAATCGACCTCGCATTTGCGTGCCTCCCGAACCATCGCAGGATCGAGCCAGCCGCCGTTGACATCATCCCAGTAACGCTCGCCGTCGTTTAGAAGCTCTCGGCTGGCTTCGAAAGGCTCCGGGCCGAGCGGGGGCGGCCCTCCCGTGGCCTCTGCCAACTCGCAGAGATGCCCTTCATCACGCATACTCGCTTTGACGGCCGTAAGAACACACCTGACCACCCCAGGACGGAGATCTGGCGCACGCCTCGCCAAGCCACCAACCATCTGCACAGTGCAGTGGCGTTCGGGGCGGGGCTGCCCTCTCACCGATCCAGCCTGGCGCTGCTCAGCCAGCTCTCCGACCAATCCTGGTAGATTCGTCATGAATCCGGTGGGTTCCCTAAGATAACGTACGCCACCATCTCGCGAACCCTCGCGGGCTGCACCATCAAAGCTCCGCTTGCACACAGGTCCCTTTCCTCGTAAAACCGTCTGTTGCGCAAGCAATGCCTTGATCTGTTCATCATGCCAGGTCCTGGCGTCGTGTGGGCGCGCGTGAAGGAAGTACCTATTACGAGCCATCTGTCGACGATAGCTCTCGCAAGCTACCCACAAATGCTTCCGAGCTACATCCATGGCCCTGGCCAGAGCTGCGGGGCCCCTCTGGCGAGCACCACCCTGAAGAAGATGGAGCGCAACACGCGGAGGCGACCCTATGAGAAGATAGGGGTCTTCACGTTCAAGTGCCCTGAACCAGTCAGCCACGTCTGAATCGTCACTGAAGTCCCAATGCGTTCCGTCGGGCTTCGGCGCCTCCATGTCTATACAGATTCCTGGTTTCATGCCCAGGGCGCCTCCGAGCGAGCATAATGAACGAAAGTGCGCCTGAAGCTCAGGCACATCTACGGGGATCCCAGCTCTAGTGAGAGATGTGTGATCTCTTCCAGCTCAGAAGATGACAGATCAATACTGTTACGCTTGAGTGCTGATACAATATTGGTACGATATGCGATTCGAAGCGTTTCCTTGTCATACGAAAGCCTCCCAGCACCCGCAGATCCTACTTCCATGCCTCGGTTGGGGGATCCAGCGGCGTCGCTGGCTGAGACTCCCGCCGGCGTTCCGCCCTCGCCGCCGGCTGCCGCGGGGCTACCCGCAAGCGGTGGCACGGGGGCGCCCGAACTGGCACTCGATGCCCCTGGCGTCCCGGCCTGGATCCTAAGTTGGACTGCTGGCGGCAGCCTTACATCATCATCCACTGTCTGTCCTGGAGCTTCCGCCGGCTTCCGCTTGAGCTCTGATTGGTTCTCAGGGCTCCTCTCTGCGCGTCGCCGCCCCGACGGTCGCTCTTCTGAGCCCGCCGGGGGCCCTCGAGACGCTTCGGCGCGCCCCGGCCTCGGTTCGATCCTCGCGGGGCTACCCGCCGAAGAGCTGCTGCCCTGCGCTGCTGACCTCCGCTCTCCTGCTGCTCCTGGCGGTATGATTCCTCCTCCTGGCGCTTCTTCTCCTCCAACTACTATTCCTCCTCCTCCTCCTTCTCCCCCTTCTGCAACTGCTCTTGCTACTCCTCGCCCTGGCTGCCCTTCGCGACGATCAGGGTGACGATGATGAATGAGAAGGGGGCGAGGGGAGGGAGGATGGCGAGCGAGATTTTCCTCTGCGGCACCCTGGTCTGGCCTCGGCTCCTGCCGAGCTGCCTGCGCCTCCACGCGGTGTCTCTGCGCGGGGTCTGCGCGGATCCTCTCGGCCATCCGCTCGGTGCACTGCTTTGCGTGCGCCACCCCAGCCGGCAGGTCCATAGCGACGCGCCCGCGCGCCGCGCACTCCGGCGTGGACCCGTGCGCCTGCACGTCCCTCTTCAGAATGTACAGCTTCCTCGGCCCTGGAACTCCTCCTCCAGCGCCCCCTGCGCCTCCTGCGCGCTGCGCCGCCGGCTGCTGCGGCGGCGGCGGCGGCACCGCCGCTGCGGGGCTACCCGCTGCAGCAGGCCTGGCCGAGGCGGAGCTCCCCGCGCCCGGCACCATGTCCCAAGGCTTGCCCTTGAGGTCGTCGAAGAAGTCCGCCTTCCAGCGCTCCTCGACCGTCATCTTGTTGAAGGTCTTGGCTCGCACCGCTCCGGCTGCCGTCATCGCCATCAAGCTGCCGGCGCGCGCGTGGTGCCCGACGTAGATGCCCTCGACCATCTTGGGCGCAAAGCCGGAGCTCGGCTCTTCCTGCGCCAGCCGGGCGTGGATGCGCTCCCCGAACTCAAGTTCCAGCGCCTCCCGGTTCTCCTCTGCTCGGCCGCCCAGCCGTCGGCGCCCACCCTGTACCTCGACAGGCAGGCGGCCGCGCGCCTGGGAAGCCACGTCCAGACGTCATGCGTCCGAGGCAAGCGCTTCTGGAGTCTCTCCTCCAGCGCCTCCTTCAAGGACCTCATCGTCCGCTTGACCTCCCGCGCAGCAACTTCGGCCTCTCCGTTGGCCTGATGGTCGCCGACAGGACTCTCCTGTGGCACCATTTCCACACGAGGCAACGCGTCGCCTGCAGCCGCCTTCAGCGCCACTAGGCTTGCCTCGTTGTCTGACTTGGATACGTGCCGTTTCCATCCAAGCTCTGTGACACACCCAGCAAAGAATCTCACCGCGTAAAGATCAACTCCCTTGCTCGGGATTGCAGTCGCCATATAACACTTCGTCGGTCTGTCTCTCATGACAAGCATGGGCATTGTGGCGCTCTCGCCCCCATCATCATTCATGTACGCGTAGTCACAAGAAATGACGGGGTCTGCGCCCTCGGGTTCCTCTTGGGCCCTGTGTTGCTCTCCAATGCCTCGCCCTGCTTGGCAATGCCGACACCGCGATCGAAACTGCGCGTGCCCCATCGCGTAGTGGCCCTCGACCTCCTGCCGCGTCGGTGGGCGCGCAGATGCCCTATAGCGCTGCTCCTGCTGCTCGTCCGCCGCCTCGTCGTCTGGCACGCCTGGTGCCCCGACCGCCTCTGCGGCCGGCACCTCGGCAGGCGCGGGACTGCCCGCTCCTGCCGGCGCCCCTTCCAGCGGACTTGCAGACGAGGGTCCGGCCGCCCAAAACTCGGCTGCGGAGCTGCCCGCGTGCCTGGGTCCTCGAGCCCGGCGACCTCCGTCTGGTCATCTACTCGCATGTAGAAGTTGTGCACGCCTCTCTCCTCGTACACCGGCAGGAGGGTCTCATGGCCGTGCCTCTGCACCAACCTGCTCAGCTCCTGCTTGAGCTTCCTGCCGACGATGCCGTCGCGAGGGATGACGTAACCCCCGCCTTCCTCCAGCACGAGCAGCTGCCCTGCCCGAGCCACTTGCGAGGCAGAGGCCAGAACCTTGCGCACGTCTGTGAGCCGACCCGTGATGTTCCGCACCATCGAGTTCTCATCAGCGCACTGCAGCTTGACGCCTCCGTAGTCGGAGATCCTCTCCCCGCTCGCCGTGACGTAGCCCTTGTGGCTGCCGTCCTCGTGCTTCCCCTCGTGGCCCCCGAACCACTTCTGCGGGCACGCCGTAACGGCGGCTCCTGTGTCCAGGTTGAACTTCAGGTAGCCGGCGCAGTGGCTGGCTGGGAACTTCGTGTCCAGAGCCCCCATGTCCAGCGCTCCCTGCTCGCCTTCCGGCTCGCCGTCGTCCTCGCGCTCTGTGTCCAGGGAGCCGGCGTGCTTGGCCTTGCCCTTGCCCTTCGCCTTGGCTGCGGGCTTCGCCTGGCCCTTCGGGCCAGCAGGCTTTTTCGCGCGGCAGTCCTTGGCCTTGTGGCCCCACTTGCCACGCCACCAGTTGTTGCAGTACCCTTCGAACGGAGCAGGTCTGGAGCTGTCAGCTTTGCCCCCTTGGGCCTTGCCCTTGCCGTCAGTGCCTTTGCCTTTGCCCTTACCTTTGCTTCCCTTGGAGCCGCCCTTGCCCTTCCAAGCAAGAGAGTCGACGTCCATGGGATTGACCCCGGTATCCGCGTTGGCAGTCGGCATGCGGTCTCGCACTCTGATCCTGACCTGCTTTCCCGTTCTGGTTTCATAGTGCTGCACTACCTCGGCACGCACGTCGGCGTACTTCTTCAGCCTGGACGCGTTGAGCTGCAGGTGTTTCTCCAGCTCCTCGGGCACCGTGGCCTCCAAGGCCGAGGCAAGAAAGTTGTCCGCAATCTGTGCCTCGCCAAGTTTCTGCGCCTTCTTGTTGTAGCTGGTCACCATGGCCTCCCACGTCTGCAGCGCCGCCCCGAGCTCCTCGATCTTCACCTTGCTCGGTGACATGATCGCCATCAGGAGTGTCCAGCGCCTCCCGCCGCTCAGCGAGTCAAAGCGTCGGTGCAGCAACCGCCAGGCTTCCAGGCCGTTTCCCGCGCAGCTCTGCACGATCGTCCATGCCTCGCCTTCTGTGGTGCTGGCAAGGACGGCCTCAAACTGCTGGTTGAGACCCCTCATCCCTTCGATGAAGTTCTCGTCTGCGCCTCCAAAATGGAGGTCCACGTCGTCAACGCTGAGAGGGTCGTCTTGGTCCAGGGCCCACTCCAGCGCACGACCCAGCAGAGGCTCTACACCGCACAGATATAGTCCTCTATCTTGCGGGTCCACTCCGGGAACCTGGATTCATCTCCTGTGAACGTCCATGGTTTCCCGATGGCCTTCTGGTCCACCAGCTGCGGCCTCTCGCGCCTCGCGAGGGCCTTCGTCTGCTCCGTGAGCACAGACACCAGTTGTTGCAGCACCTCAGTGGTGCCCGGAGCTGCTGCTGCAGCTGCTGCCGCGCCCGCCGCGGCGTGGCTCTGCTGAAGGGCTCCAATCTGGTTCTGTTGTTGGGTCACGGTGGTCTGAAGCTGCTGATTCTCTGTCCGGAGCAACCGGAATTGCTCAGTGACCTCCTGAAGCTGCGCCTGCACTGCCTGCAGCGCTGCCTCGGCCATCCTGCTCTCGTTCCTGGCTCAAGCCCTCTCTCTTGACCTTCCGGACGCTGTGCTCGTCCGAAGGCTGCTCCTGCTCGCGCCTGCGGGGCTGCCCGCAGCGCTTCGGCCTCGAGCAGAGCGACGTCCAGCCGCCCACTGGGCCTGGCGGAAGAGTCGGGCTACGCCTCTCTGCGTCAGCCCCTCCTTCTCCCCGTGGATCCAAGCGCTCGCGCCTCCCGCGCTGGCGCCTGGGCCGCTCCTCGCACGCCGATCGCGGGTGGTCCCGCGACCTATTCCCCACTCGAGGCGGGGCCTCTGGCAGGGGCGGGGCTGCCCGCTCCCTGGTGTGCTGCCGGCGGTGCTGCCCGCCAGCAGGGGCCGCAGGCTGAGGCGGGGCTGCCCGCTCTCCAGCCCCGCGGCGGAGTTGACCTCGTAGGATTCGTTCGAGACGTCGATGTTCAGATCGACGTTCACCTCTCGAGCGCTTCTTCGGCGGCATGCGAGGGCAGCAGCACCCTACGCTACCATGAAGAAGTGTTTTGTGCCGAAAGGGCTATGGATGCATATGCAATCGATGCAACTGCTGATGCTACAATACACTCACATAAGCATGAGCAGAGAGGGTATTTCAACAGGGGTCCTAGGTCCTACCGTCGGAGTAATTGTATTCATTTTTTTTGTCCCGGCACGTTTCTGGCAATGATACTCCCGTGCATTGTCTGATTGTTGTAAATCGTATTTCAATTAGCTTGTTTGCAGAAATAGTCCCATGTGCTCTTCTTGCTCGTTCGTCTGCTGAATTCTCCGGAGAATTATTTCGCTGACCGTCGCCCTTTTGGCTCGAGCCTCCACATGCGCAATCAAGTCTTGTGCGGAACCAGGTCGAGCGGTCGCCCCAATGACCTAGTATGATTTCGCGGTTGCCGCGATGCCCGCGAAGCGCTGGAGCCTGCGGGCGTGCGATTCCGAGAAGCAGGTGCAGAGGAAGCCGGCCGTCAACCCCAAGGCCGAGGGAGGCTCGCACACATTGCGGGCCCGAAGTACGAAGGCGGAGATCGACGATGCCATCGACTTAACGTTCAAACATGTCACCCCTTCTGAGCTCGACGGCAAGAAAGTGCAAGCCTCGAGCGGCGAGATGAGAACTTTACGTGAGAAACTGGCGCATTACACCCGCAACGCTGCCACGTCTCTTACCCAAGACGGCCCCCCGACGGATTGCATCCAAGAGGACCCTCTGGATGGCACTGTCGGGGGCCCCCTCGAACCCTCTTGAAAATCTCCTGGGGAGGCCCCAAAGGGGCCCAATATGCCCCCAGGAGGGCCACCATCGATATCATACCACGGGCTCTTCGTATGACATCGTTGGGGGCCAACTTTGGGTCCCTCTTGGGAATCGTTTTGAACCCCTTTTGGAATTCTCTTGGGGCCGCCTTGAGCCCTCCCACGCCGTCGTTGGGGCCAGAGGAGGGCCTAGCCCACATGTGTGGTGCAAGCTGTTTGGGCGCGACCGACGTCGTTTAAACCAAGCGGTGAAAGCAATATGGTGAAAACAATGCGGTGCAAGCTACGCGGCGCCATTGAGTTGGCGCGCGCTCTGTGTGCGCCCACACGGCGCTCACGGGCGTCCACCAGGCGAAACCCCTGCGTACCCACCGCGCGCACGAAACGCACACCAAGCAACCGCGGCCCCCCACCAAGCGAGCCGCGTGAGTACCCTCATGTACCCACCCAGCGAGTCAGGCGCCCACAAAACACCCACGGGCGCCAGCCAGGCGGAACCCCGCGGCACCCGACCAACGCACGATGCGCCAACGCAGCGCCCACGGGCGCCCATCAGACGAAACGCCGAGCTCCCATCACATGACGTACCAATGGAAGCAAGAAGCCGCACGCGCAGACAATGCCTAGAGAAGAAGCACAAGGATGAGAAATTGAACCAAATAATCAAAAGCAGCAGCGTGGAATGGGGACTGCCCGCTGCAATGTCCTGGCGGGGAACCTGGGGCAACGCGTCCTACTCCTCCTCCTCCTCCTCGTCCTCCGGTGCCGTTTTGGGTCAACGTGGGGGCAGGCCCCGTTTGAGTTAGCCAGCTCTGGTTCGTGAGCGTTCCTGGAATCAGATTCGGGTGCACCAGGAAGAGAGGCGAGCACCATGTGCAGATATCGCCTGCCCCGAGAGCCTGGCAAAGCAAAGCATCTGCAAAGTGCAAGTCAGGCCATGTCCGAACCTTGCTGCGCATCTTAACGGCATGGCGAACGCACAACACTGTACAAGGAAAGCTCGCGTTGGTACCGCGGTATCTTGCCGCATCTCCGCGTCGCGCCCGCCTGTGCCCCGAGCGAAACGAGCCTCGCTGGCCCTCGCGAGGCCCGCGCGTGTCCTGCGCCCCCCATCCAGAGCTTAGCGCGAACCTTGTGCAAACCCCGCAATAGCGCGGGGCTTGCCCTCGCCGATCCCAAGACGGGCCCAAACGAAGCCTCGCGCGTGCCCAGTGGAGCCAAGCGCGGACCCCGCGAGAGCCATAGGCATACCGCGCGCGAGCCCCGCGCGAGCCTTGCTCGAACCCCGCGCAAGGCCCGCACGCAGAGCCGCGCGAGCCCGGCGGAGACCCCGTGCGAGGCTCGCGCAGGCCCCACTGACCCCCCGACGTGCCCAGCGAAACGCCGCGAAACCCGCTCGGGCCAAGCAATATCCCACGAAATCTCAGCGCGCGTTCCGCGCAAACGCCGCGCGAGCTCCCCGCGAGCCCTGTGGATCCGCGAGGGAATCCGTTGGGGGCACCGCGGATCCCGATCACGAGACCGCGTAAATCTCGCGCGAACCCTGCTCAGAACATCCTCCGAACGTCGCTCGAATCCCGCTCGAAACCACTACGCGGACTCTGCGCGCAGCACGCGCGCGAAGAGAGGACAAAGAGGAGGACGTGGAATGGACCACGGTGAAGATAGGGCGATGACGAAGCGGGGGCAACGAGGAGGACGGGGAGGAGTAGGAGGAGGACGAGGAGGAGGAGGAAGAGGAAAAGGAAATTCTTTTACCCACGCAACTCTATGGACATTGTGCGACGCTTTACATGTTGTTGCACCTCTCATCCAGGCGAGGGCCCTGGGCAGCAAGCGCAGCAGCAGGCAGAGTAGGGGGCATGGACGCGCATATCTGTATACATATATAAATGTATACCTATACGACCACCCTACGGGTGATAAGGAGGTTGGGGGGGGGTGGAGGGGCCGAGCATTGGGCAACAGTGGTGATTGTTCTCCTGACGATGCCAATAATCAAGATACGGGGGCCTTCTCTACGTCCTTCAGGGGCCTCGGTGCGGCGCGACATTGCACCGTGGATCGGCCCCGGAAGCGGCGCAACACTGTGCGTGGTGGAGGAGAACCTGAGAGAAGACCTCATTCGCTGTCTCATTCGGTCTCACTACCGATCTCACAATCGATATCACGATCGACGTCATCATCATCATCATCATCATCATCATCATCATCATCATCATCATCATCATCATCATCATCATCATCATCATCATCATCATCATGATCATCACATCACATCATCATCATCATCATCATCATCATCATCATCGTCATCGTCATCATCATCATCATCATCATCATCATCATCATCATCATCATCATCATCATCATCATCATCATCATCATCATCATCATCATCGCCATCATCAACATCATCTCATCATCATCATCATCATCATTACCATCATCATCATCATCATCATCATAATCATCATCGGGACACCGACGGGACACCGACGGGACACCGGCGGGACACCGGCGGGACACCGCGCGCCACCGGCCGCCCGGCGGAGAATCATTTGGTCCGGCCGCGCCTCAGCCACAGGAGATTTTCCTCTCGCCCGCCCACGCAGCTTCGCCTCGCCCGCACGGCACGCACGAACACGAAACCGAAATCGATTTCTCCGTAGGGGGGCTCTCCGTTCCACTTCGATCTCACCCCCTCACCTCCGACCTATACGACCGCCCTGCGGGCGATAAGGAGGTTATTAGGGGGGATTGCGGGTGATAAGGAGGTGAGGGGGGAGGGGGAACCAACGTCTCACTCAATCGACCTCGCTATCGATCTCACATTCGATCTCATTATCGATATCACTATCGATCTCGCTATCGATCTCACTATCGATCTCACAATCGATCTCACAATCGATCTCACAGTCGATCTCACATTCGGTCTCACATTCGGTCTCACTGTCGATCTCACTATCAACCTCACAATCGAACTCACAGTCGATCTCACATTCGGTCTCACATTCGGTCTCACTATCGATCTCACTATCAATCTCACAATCGATCACACTATCGGTCTCACAATCGATCTCACAGTCGATCTCACAATCGATCTCACAATCGATCTCACATGAGGTCTCACATTCGGTCTCACCGTCGATCTCACTATCGATCTCACAATCGATCTCACAGTCGATCTCACATTCGGTCTCACATTCGGTCTCACTATCGATCTCACTATCGATCTCGCTATCGATCTCGCTATCGATCTCACTATCGATCTCACAATCGATCTCACAATCGATCTCACATTCGGTCTCACATTCGGTCTCACTGTCGATCTCACTAACGATCTCACAATCGATCTCACAATCGATCTCACATTCGGTCTCACATTCGGTCTCACTATCGATCTCACAATCGATCTCACAATCGATCTCACAATCGATCTCACAATCGATCTCACATTCGGTCTCACTATCGATATCACAATCGATCTCACAATCGACGCCATCATCATCATCAACAACAACACCAACATCATCATCATCATCGCCATCATCAACATCATAATCATCACCATCATCATCATCAACATCATGATTGGGACACCGACGGGACACCGACGGGACACTGGCGGGACACCGGCGGGACACCGCGCGCCACCGGCCGCCGGGTGGAGAATCATTTGGTCCGGCCGCGCCTCAGCCACAGAGGACACCACCGGGACACCGGCGGGACACCGCGCGCCACCGGCCGCCCGGTGGAGAATCATTTGGTCCGGCCGCGCCTCAGCCACAGGAGACTTTCCTCTCGCCCGCCCACGCAGCTTCGCCTCGCCCGCACGCACGGCACGCACGAACACGAAACCGAAATCGATTTCCCGGTAGGGGGGCTCTCCGTTCCACTTCGATCTCACCCCCTCACCTCCGACCTATACGACCGCCCTGCGGGCGATAAGGAGGTTATTAGGGGGGATTGAGATCAAATGCCCACCCTGCCTGACCTCCAGCCTGTCACCTTGATCTCATCTCTCTCTTTCTGGCAAAAGTGAATTGGTGGATTGGGTTGGGTGGGCTGGATTGGATGGGATAAGATGGATTATAATATGGGTTGGATTGGAAGAAATGGATTGGCTATGAAAATATAGATTAGATTGGCCCGCCGCAGGCGCAGAAACAAATGAATTGATGGATTTGCTTGGGTAGGATAAGATAAGATGGGACAAGGTGGGTTGGATAAGATAAGATGGCTTGGATGAGACAAGGTGGGTTGGATATGATAAGCTGGATTGGATAAGAAAGCCCGCCGCAGGCGCCGAAACAAAAAAAAAATGGAATTAGCGACATGCGTTAGCGCCGGGACACCCGGGACACCCGGAACACCGCCCGGCCCAACTGGGACACCTCCCGGCCACCGGCGGACGGGAAACGGACTTTCGCTCCTACTGACACCCGGGACACCCGGGACACCGCCCAGCCCAACTGGGACACCTCCCGGCCACCGGCGGATGGGGAACGGACTTTCGCTCCTACTTCGGCCTAGCTACAGGAGGATCACGCGCAGCGAACACGAAACCGGAACCGATTTCCCGGTGGGGGGTCTGCGTGTCACTGCGATCTCACCCCCCGACCTTCGATACATATATATATATACTAGAACCATCGCGCGCGCTTCGCGCGCGCTCAGGTTCCAGCCCAGGCTGGGGGGGGCGCTGGACGAACTTGGACGTCGCTATCAAGCACAGGCGCGCGACGGCATCTGAGGAGCTTTCGGGGTGCTCCGCATGCTTCGTCAACTGGCTGTGGGAGGCACCTCTTGGGTGCTTCTTGGGGGGGCGTCTGAGGGAGGGTCCCTTGGGGGCATCGGTTCTGCAATCTGAAGCCGTCATTGGCCGTCTTGGCTGCGTGGAGGCCCGACTTGAAGCCACCTGCGGCCAGATTGAGGCAATCCGGAAGCATCCCGGGGGCCTCCTGGAAGCAGTTTTGACGCATCGAGGGCACTCCTGGGCTATTTTAAAACCTCTTGGACGTCTCCTAGGAGCCTTTTAGGCCCTCGGGGAGCTTTTGGGGTCCTCGTCGGACCACTTGGGGGCCTCTTGTGGCCTCCTGCGGGTCTTTTGCGGGGAACGCTCTGCTGCTGGGTCGCGTTCCCCTTCTTGGGCCTCTCTTGGGGCTCTTGGGGCCCTCTCGGGCCGTCTTGGGCGCCTCAAGCACCGTCTTGGGGCCCTCGCGGGCCGTCTTGGGGCCCTCTTGGAGGCCTCTCCCTCTATATGGGACCGGTATTGGAAGCCTCTTGGGCCGTCTTGGAGCATCGGGATGCCAAAAGGCAGAAAAAAAATAAAACCCGTCAAAGCCCAATCGAAAAACAATGAGTTGTGCCTCTTGGGGCCACCTTGGGAGATCTCTTGGAACCTCGTCGGCCCTCTTGGGAGCTTCTTGGGGGCCTCTTGGATCCGATTGGATGCCTCTTGGGACTTCCCGAAAACCTCTCGGGGTAGAAAGCTCGGATTCTCGGTTCGTGTTTCCCTTCTTGGGCCTCTCTTGGGGCCGTCTTGGGGCCCTCTCGGGCCGTCTTGGGCGCCTCAGGCACCGCCTTGGGGCGCTCGTGGGCCGCCCAGGGTCCTCTTGGAAGCCTCTTCGGCTATCTTGGAGCTGTCTTGGAGGCCTCTTCCTCCTCCTCGTCCCCCTCCTCCTCCTGATCTTCCTCCTCCTCTTGCAGCGTGTTCCGGAAGGCTCCCGCCGGAACATGCTGTGCACAAGTGCTGTCACTGCTCCCGCCACCGTGCCCTGGGTGGTGGGTCAGAGGCCTCATGGGTGTTGGATTGGATCTCGTGGTTGGCGTGTCGGGGACGTCGTGAAGGCAATTTCGCAGCTTCTCGGTAGCCGTGTTGGGACCGTTGTGGGGCCTCCTCGGGGCTGCTTTGTGGCCTCTTTAGGCGTCGTTTGGGCCTCCTGGGTGCCTCTTGGGGGGCCTCCTGGGGCCTCTTGGGGGCTCCTTGGGGCCTCTTGGGGCACTCTTCAAGCGGGAGGGTCGAATTTTGGAGTCGTGGTCCCCGTCTTGGGCGCATCTTGGGGCCGTCTTGGGGCTCTGTTGGGCTGTCTTGGGCGACTCTGGGGCCCTCTTGGGGCCCTCTTGGGCCGTCTTGGGGCGCTCGTGGGGGTCTATTGAGCCGTCTTGGAACGTCGGACAGCCGAAAAGTCTGGAAGGCCAAAATCGTTCGAAAACCTTCGTACAATTGACGATTTCGGCCTCTTGAAGCGCTCTGGAGAGGCGTCTTGAAGCGTCGTGGAGTGCCTTGGGGGGCCTCTCGGGCCGTCTTGGGCCTATCTTGGGCGTCCTGGAGCGGTCTTTCGGCGACTCGGGGCCCGCTTGGGCCGTCTTGGGAGCCTCTGGAGGCCCTCCTGGACTATTTTGGACCTCCCCGGCCGCCCCGTCCTCCCATGGGGGGTCGGAGGCGGCGGCCTCCAAGGCCCAGGACGCGGAATCCATGTAAAAACATAAGGAAAAGGAGCCCCGGTACCCCATGGAGGGTCGGGGCAGCTGTTTTCGGGCACCGGGCCTCCTGGGTGCCTCTGGGGGTCTCCTGGGCCTCTTGGGGCCCCTTTGGGGCCTCCCGGGGCCCTGTGGAGGCGGGAGGCTCGAATTTCCAGTTCGCTGTTCCCTTCTTGGAGCCCTCTTGGGGCCGTCTTGGGCCTCTCTTCGCCCGTCTTGGGCGCGTCTTGGGCCGTCTTGGGGCCCTCCAGAGCCGTCTTGAGCCCCTCTTGGAGGCCTCTTGGGCTGTCTTGGGGCGTCCGCGGGGAGCCTGTGAGCCGTCGTGGAGCGTCGGAAAGCTGAAAAGGCGGGAAAGGCGAAATGTGTTCGAAACCTTCGTAAAATGAACGATTTTGGCCTCTTGGGGCCCTCTGGGGGGGCCTCTTGGAGGCCTCTAGGAGCGTCGTGGGGGCCTCTGTGGCCGTCTTGGGCTTATCTTGGGCATCTTGGGGCCTTCTTGGCGCCCTCTTGGGCCTCTTGGAGCCTGCTGGGCCTGTCGTGGAGCGCTCTTGGGGCACTCTTGGGCCGCCTGGGCTGCTCCAGGGAGGCTCCAGCCCCTCCCCGTCCCCCCATGGGGGTCGAGGCACCTGTCCTGGGGCCCCTGGCCTCGCCCCCAGGTATATATATATATATATATATATATATATAAATATGTATATATTTATTATATATATATATATATATATATATATATATATATATATATTCACACATTTCACACTATTCCTTCTCAACCCTGGGGGGTGCCGAGCCTCGTCGGCTCGGGCGCGCAACAGGGATCGCGGCGGCGCCGCCGCCGCCCAGGGCGACGCTCGGCGGCTCGCCACAGCCTCGTGCAGCTGCAGCAGTGGGTCTGCCGCGGCGCACCGCAAGGCCAACGCCCACCTCAGAATCGCCCCGTCGGCCCGGGCTGATCCGTGGGCAGATCCCGAGCCCGAGGTGCAGCCGATCCCATCCGTTCCAGAGCGCTCCCCTGATCGGGAACCAGATCGAAGCCCCGCTCCGATTCCGCTCAATTGGCGGAGTAACGCCCTGCTCGGGATCCGGTCGGTGAGTCAAACGTTCACAATTTCGGACCCCGGGCAAAGAATCAGGACGTCAGCGCCGCCAATTTGAATCTTCCGTCGCGGTGTCGCTGCTAGCTGCCAGCAAGGATGTGCTCTCCCCTGGAGGAATGAGGGCGACAAAGCCGGAAGCCCCCCCCTCCCCGAACGCGTGGCGTGCAGGGCCTTCTGAGCTGCCCACAACGCGGGCAGCAGTGCCACCCCACCAGGCTGCACCATATGCGCGCGGCCGCACGGAGGTATCGGCCGTCCTCTCCGCGCCCCTGATGCCCCCTCCACTCGCCAAGGCGCCGCTCTTATTCCAAAGAGAGAGAGAGAGAGAGAGAGGGCGAGGTGTGAAGATAACCTCAACCACGCACACCTGGTGCGTATCAGGCGTGAGCCCCCACCCGCAAAAAAAAGCAAGAAGGCGCGCGCTGCGGCTCGCAATAACTCGCGGAATCCCATCCGCGGCGGCTTCAAGCCGTGTTTTTGGCTGCTGGAAGCCAGCCAGGTGACAGAGTCACCGCATTGCTCCCGAGGAGCTCCAGCTGCTACGAAGGGCCCCAATCCTCCCTGGAGCGCCGCTGCTGAGGGAATTGCAGAAAGGGCAGACTGTGGGAGAGCTCGGATGTTTTCTGTTGCGTATCATGGAGTGCGTAGCGGTCCTGATGTCCGCCGCCGCGCCGCGCTAAAGCAGGCATGCCATGGATTCGGCGATCCTCAACTAGAAATGGTTCGAGAGGTCTTAGAGAAGGGAATGAGAGAGAGGCAGGCAGGCGGGCAGACATGGAGAACAATACAGCTCTATACGTATTAGCACACCTATAAACGTACACGTATATATCAGTATGGTCATACATATATATATATATATATATATATACATATATATACATATCTGTATATATATTAGATGTACACACGGTCAGGCACTGCTGCTTAGCGTGTCGCATCGGCGGCCCCGACGACACGCTATGCCTTGCAAGCGAATAGCGCGTCGCTCCGCTCAACGGGGCGGGAGGGTCTGAAAAACTCGGGACGTGGACGCTTGGGGACCGGGACGTGGTTAGCGTGCACTCCCTTCCCCCAAGAAGGCGGTCGCTGCCATCCCCTTCTCCTCCTTCACCTTTTCCGACTGACCAAATTTTCATCCACGTCACCTCTCATCTGAAAATCTGCCTCTTCCTGATTCGGATCATGGTGTCTCGTCCTGGCGAATCTACCACAACCTGCGATTGAAACTAATAAGGGACAACACTGGCATTGAACACACATATGAAATGACCCACACGCGCATAGTGAGGCGATATACGCGCGCGGGGAGAACCCCCAGACAATACCGGAATCCAGTTTCGCGCGCGAGATGCGCATCCAGTGAAACCGAATCCCAACTCGAGCGTGTCAAAGCTTGACACTCCGCACTCACACCCCAAACATCTAACGACAACTTTGGCAGATGCGCAACTATCAGGACGCAGTTCCACTGTAGCTCTGGACTGCAACTGTCTTCCCCTCTCCCACCTCCAAGCGGGGTGGGGGGAAATGAAGGGGGAGGGGGGAGGGAAACGGTGTCGGAAGAAGGGAAAAGGGACGGATACACATGAAGAAGAGGGGGAGTTGGCGGGAAGGGGTGGGCGCTCAGACGAGGGAGCTCAGATAGCATCAGTGTGGAATGGAACCGCCGCCTGGCTAATTAACTACTGCCCATCTCGCGAGTGGAGCCGCCGCCTGGCAACTCAACCGCTCTTCTTCTCGGGAGCTGGAACTGGGGGCCTTCAAAACGGCAGCCCAGACTGATCATTTGAATGCCCGCGAGCCTATGGGCCCTACATTTGGTGGGGGAGCATGCGCGACACAATCATAGGTGTCAGAAACTTCTTCCGCTACCCCCCGCAGGATTTGCATTACAATCTGTGGTCTGTCTTGCCGTCCTCAGAAAACAGCACGCCTGCCAGGGTACAACCCTCACAATGATTCCTTCGCAAGCTGGCGCCGAAATCGCGAGAGCTCTGCAGCTGCTCTAGATCTCGAGCTCAAGTTCGCCCACCGAAAGCGTGCAAACAATTTGTCCGAAGGTGAGTTACCGCCTCCAATTTTCCCCTTTCAAGACGACAGGATCGAGCTGGGATCAAGATGGTGGACAGGAATCATATCCAAATTGCCCTTGTAGAGACTGACCCACCCCGAACGAATGGTCAACATCTTGTGACATTTGTTTCAGCACAGCCCAGGTCATCGAAAATTCAGTCGATATCTTCCGAGTCAGATAGCTGGCCAGCGTTCCATAATTACTATAGTTTTTATTGCTTCGCTAACTGGAGAAGCTCTAAGAGTCTTTTCCGAGCGGACCCAACCATGGCGACGAGGGAACCATAGGCCCAAACAACACCAACCAAGGATAACCCGAGAACCTCGATCATCGAACCTCGGCCCTCCCACCTTGTGAGCCGCCACCACGCGATCTCGACAACCAAAATCAGAGGGACCCACGACCGTATAGGCGGCTACCATGAAATCGCACCCAGAAGCAGCTGGAACACGGACCCCATGGGCGGGCCCCAGGACATCACGCAACAACCAGAATCACCGGGACCCCATAGGCGGCAACCAAGACATCCTAACCGAAGCCAGCGGGACCCACGACCCCACAGGCGGCCACCAAGAGATCGACCCTCGATCCAATGGGCGGCCACGAAGAGATCGCAACGACCAGAGCTAGCAAGAACCGATACCCCACGAGATGCCACATAAAAACCCAACGCGCAGCCACAAAAAAACCCAACAACCTATGCCAACGGGAACCGGGACGGCCCACCAACAAAGCGCAACGCCCAGGGCGACCTGGGACCCCAGGCGGCCACCAGGAGATCCGAACAACGAGAATCAGATTCTTGACGCTTCGAGCATCCCCACCAGCCCTTCCAGAAACGACCACCTCAGCCTCAGCATATCCAGCAGAGGAACTGCTATCGAAAGAAGAGGCGGAAGAGAAAGTGGAGGAGATGGCCGAAGAGTGAAGATAAGTGGGAAGAAAGGGAAGATGATGTGGGAGGAAAAAGGATATACCGGCGACAAAAATGATGGGGATTAGGTAGCCACAAGAGGGTCCCCGGGGACCGAAACTTATGCATACGCCTCCGCGCGCAACCCAACAGAATCTGCACTTGATGCAGTAGGCATTTGCAATCCGAAGACTTCGCTACAAGAAACAATGGGGTCCATTCGTCGTCGATCTTTGAGGGTCCCGAGGCGCCCCAAAGCGTCTGTGGGCCCCGTGGGACCATCGAAGGATAAGACCCTTCTGTAGGGTCCCTGCTGGCAGGCCGCTTTCATATTTTCCGTGCCTGATGTAATTCCCTGCGCAAAACGGCCGCGAACGGGACCGTGAGATAACCCCTGGCGGCTCCCCTCTCGCTCGAGACATCTTCCGAAAGCGAATGATGTTGGGACAGACAACAAGCAAACCGCTTGAAACAGCCCCACAAACCGCATGAAACATCCCCCAGTTTCTACACAGGGAGATTGTCCCAACGCTGGAGGCAAATCCGGCGACTGGATCGCCAGTTGCCTCCCCGTACGTAGGCGGCTTACACCCGTCAGTTGTCGGAGCAGGTGAGTATGGGCGTCGGCCAGGCCCCTCCACGAAATCCAGCCTGCGCTTGGCATACCTCAACCCGGGACGCACGGGCTTCCTGCAACTAGGTTCGGATATGTTGCTCGAGTGGCGGCTTGAAGCCGTCGCGCAAGCGCTGGTAGAGCGGGATGTCGACGCGTGCATTCTTCCAGGCGCGCGTTCTCCATCCGGCGCCTCTTTGCCACCCGGTTTCCCTTTTCTGTGGGAAGGGCCCACGTCCTCTGGCTGGGACTCCGTCGGCTTGTTTCTGCGCCCTGAACTGGAGCATGCTTTCCGGCCACTCCCCGAAATCTCCAGCACTCGCGAGCAGTGGTTTGAGCTGTGGGGCGCAGGCGATGAGACCACCCCTAGCGCCGTCCTCTGCGCAATGTACCCTGTCCACGGCGGGGACTGGGACACTTGGGCGTCCATCGTTGCCCACGCGCGGCTGTTGCGACGTCGCTTTCCTGCTGCTCGCCTGCCTATCGGGGGCGATGCGAACCTCCACTTGTCGCACTGCGCTTCCCACGCCGTTGGGTGCCTCTGCCACCGTTGTCGACAGAGAGCCCCAGATCGCGAGATCCAGGCGTGGCTCGATGACGCAGGGCTCCGCGCTTACAACCCCCCTTTGCCCACTCACGTTTCTGGCGCGACGATTGATCTGTTCTTGAGGCCTGCCGAAGCTTACCTTCCTGTGTCTGTCTTTGATGAGTTCGTGGGCCTATCGGACCACAAGCTTGTCCATGTCGACGTTCCCTTCTCCCCGGCCCTTTCGTGGTCTGCGGGCTTTGGGCGAGTGTCCTGGGCGTCTGGGGACGAGTGGACGTCCGCGCTCAAAAGTAGTTCGGATCTGCTGGGCGCGCTAGCGGACGCCGCGGAGCAGGCCGCCAGAAGCGCGCGGCTTTGGCCGCCCTGGTTCGGGGGTAACGCCACTCGTCTGCAGCGCCGAGCTGTGCTCAACAACGCGGCTTGGGCGAGGGACGCCACTTACGTCTTAGTAGGTCACGCTGCCGGGGCCGCGAAGGTGAGCCGCGTTGGTGCTCGCGAAGGGCGCGCGCCTTCACGAGCTCCTTTGAGTCCCGCGTCTTTCCCGACGCACGAGGCGCACAAGTCCGCCGTGGAGACTGATGCGTGGCAGGAGCGGCGCAATGCGGTCCACCGGTATTTATCCCTTAGGGGCACGAACGCAGGCGCGGCAGAACGCTTCCTCACGGGCGTTTTCAAGTCCTCAGCCCGGTTCGACATACAGGTAGTGGACGAGTCTTCTGGCGCGGATCTCTCGACAGTTGAGATGCTCGACGCCATCCGTAGGGACCTTTGCTCGCGCGACGAGAATGACTCCCCGCAGGGCCCAGCCGAACGCGCGCGCATGTCAAGCCAGGTCGCTGCCATCCGTCGCGCTGGCGCGAGCTCCGGCCAGGCGGGGCCAGAGCAGCCGCACGCGGAAGAGGAAGTCGAGGCGGCCCTTGCGCTGCTCAAGCCAGGCAAGCGAACCGCGCGCATGTGCAACGCGGCGGTGCGTGCCAAGGTTGAGGAGGGTTTCCGTCTCACGCGAGCCCTGTTGAACCTGGCGCGTGCCCTGTCCGTTACCTCGCGTCTTTGGTCGCTGAGGCAGTTTTCCCCGATCCGCAAATCGGGGCCAGCGGTAGTGCGTCGGCTCTCTGCCCTGCGTCCAGTTTCATTTGCCAGTGACATGGCGTCGGTTCAAGACGCGGCCTGGCTGGCGCGCAACTCCCACTGCATAGAGGCTTACTGTGGTCCAGCCCAGCAGGGAGGCGTCGGCGACGCCATGTCTTTGGTAATTGCGCTCGTCATGAACGCCCAACTCAGAGCAGCACAGGACCTTCCAACCTGGTGGGCGATCGCAGACGAGAAATGGGCCGTCGACGTCGCTTCCATAGACGGGATGCTCTTGGGCGTCTTCGCCGCGGGTGTTCGGGGAGCCGACTGGCTGATGCTTGACGATGTCTCTGCGCAAGATCATCAGGTGGTAGGGCTCCGCGATTTGCTCACGCCTTTTTCCGCTTTAGGTTGCGGCACCGCGCAAGGGCGACGCTTTTCGGTCCACGCTTTCAATGCGCAGCTGCGCGCTCTCCCTGCGGAGATCGAACAGGCCATGCCTGGGGGGTGCGCTTCTCGCGTCCCTCTCTTGGCTCGTTTGGCCTTGCGCGATGCCAATGACGCGGTGCGTGCATCAGTTGATGTTGCAATGCCTTCTCGGGATTTCTCTCTGTCTGCCTCGGCAGTGTCGCAGGCGGCCTGCATCGCTGCGCAAGAAGGCGCCCCCTGGCCACGTGCTGAGGCCTTTCTTTCCCACGCGTTACGATCAATACCAGCACGCCCGAACAGAGTGGCGCTGGTGGAGGCCACAGGGTCGCATCACCTCCCTCCTGTCCAGTTCGTCGACGACATCACGACGCCTTGTCCGTCAGCAGGGGCCGTTCGCGCTGCGTTGTCCGAAGAGGCGTCCTCCGCATGCGCGCGGTGCGCCGGGAGGATGAAGTCTCAGTTTAATTAATGGGGTTGGGAAGACTCGCGCGCTTCCGATCTTTGGGGCGCCACCCCCGCCGCACGCCGGCTGCCCCGTAGTGCTTGCGAAGCGCCTGCTCGGAGCCCTGGTTGACGGGGATTTTTCCTTTCTTCCCCTGCTCCGTGAGGTTGCGGCGATGGGGAATGATTGTTTCGGCAAATTGCTCCGCGCTGCGCAAAGCGGGGGGTTCTCTATCCCTGTCGCAGCCGCCCAGGCCCCCTCGCGCGTGGATTCCGTGGCGCTACGCGCTGCCCCGCTTTTAGCGGGCACGCCCGGGGCGGAGGCCGCCCTCAATAGGCTCCAAGTGAACTGGGGTCGACGTCTGTTGGGCTGCCAAAGAGGCCCTCCCATCAAGCATGCCGTTGTAGTCGCGCAGCGCGGGTGGCCAATGCGGCTCGGCACACGTTTTTTGGAGAGGGTAATCATGGCGAGGGCGCGCCTGCAGGTGCTGCCCTGCGATCACCCAGCGGCCGTAGTCCTTCGCGCGGCGAAGGATATGGGCACCCCGACACGGGAGACCGCGGCGCTTCGGCTTCTGGGCCGCCTGCCCCCCCCGCCTGCTGACCTGCTATGCCGCGCCATGTTTCCGCCCGAGAGGATCGAGGCTGCGCGGGGGGATCGCGCTGCCAGGAAGGAGGTGCTGAGGGAGTACCGGCTAGGTTGCGCGCGCCCGGCCTTGCTCCAGCACGACCGGGCGGCTTTTGTCGCGGCCGCGTCTCGGAAGCTCGAAGCCTTGAGCCGTTCTTTTTGCGACCTGTGCCCTGGGAACTCCCTCCCTGACCTTGCCCTCCTCGCGTGGGAGTCTGGGCCTCACTTTTGGAAGCACTTTCAATTGTGGGCTGTGGCGCGCGTGACTGGCGCTTGGCAGCTCTCTGTGTTGGGCGACGATGACCACCCATGCACCCTTGAGAGATGCCGGGCACGTGGGTTTCGTAACGCGTCCTTGCGTCATGCATTGGCGGTGTGCCCAGTGCTTGCGGTGCAACGGCGTGAGATCTTTCCTCTGGGGCCTGACCACCAGCCTCGGCCTGTAGGCAGCGACCTTTTCATGCAACTTTTGGTCTGCGAGGGCGGTGACGCCAGTGAGCGCGTGAAGCGCGTCTCGTTCGTGGGCCGATCCATTGCGCGGGCTGCTCCGCGCCGTTCTTCTTCTCCCTGCTCTTCCTCGTCCTCCTCGTCTACTTCCAGTGGCAGCTAAAGGGCCCGAGCGCGTCTCCAAGCACTTGTGTGCCTGTCCGCTGCTCGTTGCTCGTTGCTCGTTTTTTGTTGTTTCTCTCTCTCTCTCTCTCTCTCTCTCTCATATTTGTTTTCTCTCTCTCTCTCTCTCTATATATATATATATATCTCTCTCTCTCTCTCTCTCTCTCTCTCTCTCTCTCTCTCTCTCTCTCTCTCTCTCTCTCTCTCTCTCTCTCTCTCTCTCTCTCTCTCTCTCTCTCTCTCTCTCTCTCTCTCTCTCTCTCTCTCTCTCTCTCTCTCTCTCTCTCTCTCTCTCTCTCTCTCTCTCTCTCTCTCTCTCTCTCTCTCTCTCTCTCTCCTCTCTTTTTGTTTTCTCTCTCTCTCTCTCTCTCCCTCTCTCTCTCTTCTGACCCTCGGTGCCTAGCGAGAGGGGGGGGGGGGGGGGGGCCCTTTACGGGCGCCGCCGTTGCCGCTGGGTTGCGAGGCGAGCGGCCGAGTCTCACCTTCGCGGCGTCGCCCCGCAGCTGATTGTTGCGGGATGGGGCCGAGCTCTGCCGCCCGAGACCTGCAGGGGAAGGATGGGGCGTGAAAGACTGCCCCTCCACTTCGTCGGCAGGAAGGCTCAGCGCGGCGCGCCCCCGCCGCGGGCAGCAACGCTGAGCCGCAGCGGCCGGGGGTCGCGTGCCGACGTAGCCCGCGCCGGCGCGGAGACCCGCGACCGCTGCAGGAACGCGAAATGAAAATGAAAAACGATACGGAACCGTGGGATAACCCCTGGCGGCTCCCCTTAGGGGGGTGAAAATGAGCGCCTCGCTCGAAACATCCTCCAAGTCTGCTCCGAAATCGAAGGACGCTGGGACAGAAAACAAACAAACCGCTTGAGAAATCCCCACAAAACGGCCGCGAACGGGACCGTGAGATAACCCCTGGCGGCCCCCCTTAGGGGATGAAAATGAACGCCACGCTCGAGACGTCCTCCAACTCTGCTCCGACAACGAAGGATGTTGGGACAGCAAACACACAAACCGCTTGAGACATCCCACAACACGCCCGCGAACGGGACCGTGAGATAACGCCTCGGCGCCTCCCCGTAGGGGGTTGAAAATAAGCGCCTCGCTCGAGACATCCTCCAAATCTGCTCCGAAAGCGAAGGATGTTGGGGCAGAAATCAAACAAACCGCTTTAGACATCCCCACAAAACAGCCGCGAACGGGACCCTCTGGCGGCTCCCCTTGGGGGGGTGAAAATGAGCGCCTCGCGCGAGACATCCTCCGAATCTGCTCCGACAGCGAGAGATGTTGGGACAGAAAACAAGCAAACCGCTCGAGGCGTCCCCACAAAACGGCCGCGAACGGGGCGCGCGTGAGTCTCAGCATGAGTAACTCTGAGTAGGAGTAGGTCTGAGTATGAGTAGGTCTGAGTAGTAATAAGTTTGTGTCTGAGTAAGTCTGGGCGTGAGTAAGTCTGAGTGTGAGTCAGTCTGTGCAGGAGTAAGTCTGGGTATGAGGAGGAGAGGGGAGGAGAAGGAGAAGGAGGATAATCCGGCGGCGCCCAAGACATAACAATAGCCCCATCTTAGGGTATGGGGAATACATCAGACAATGATTACCCCGGCAAAGCAACCCAACAGCGATGTGTATAAGCATATATGGAAGCATTCCCCTCAATATTCAGGTGAGAATCCAGTTGTAGAAGTCTGCTGTTCTCGCAGTCGCACTCGCATTCGAAATGACAGTCGCAGTGGCAACGGCCTCAGCCTCAGCCTGCCTCAGCCTCAGCCTCAGCCTGCCTCAGCCTCAGCCTGCCTCAGCATCCGCCTCAGCCTCAGCCTCAGCCTCAGCCTGCCTCGGCTTGCCTCGGCCTCGGCCTCAGCCTGCCTCGGCCTCAGCCTCAGCCTGCCTCAGCCTCAGCCTCAGCCTGCCTCAGCCTCAGCCTGCATCAGCCTCAGCCTCAGCCAGCCTCAGCCGCAGCTTGCCTCAGCCTCAGCCACAGCCTCAGCCTCAGCCTGCCTCAGCTTCAGCCTCAGCCTCAGCCTGCCTCGGCTTGCCTCAGCCTCAGCCTCAGCCTGCATCAGCCTCAGCCTCAGCCGCAGCCTGCCTCAGCCTCAGCGTCAGCCTGCCTCAGCCTCAGCCTGCCTCAGCCTCAGCCTCAGCCTGCCTCAGCCGCAGCGTGCCTCAGCCTCAGCCTCAGCCTCAGCCTCAGCCTCAGCCTCTAAGCCTCAGCCTGCCTCAGCTTCAGCCTCAGCCTCAGTCTACCTCGGCCTCAGCCTGCCGCAGCCTCAGCCTGCCTCGGCCTCAGCCTCAGCCTCAGCCTGCCTCAGCCTCTGCGTCAGCCTCTCAGCCTCAGCCTGCATCAGCCTCAGCCTGAGCCTGAGCCTGCCTCAGCCTCAGTCTCAGCCTGCCTCAGCCTCAGTCTGCCTCAGCCTGCCTCAGCCTCAGCCTCAGCCTGCCTCGGCCTCCTGAGCCTGCCTCGGCCTCAGCCTCAGCGTGCCTCAGCCTCAGCCTGCCTCGGCCTCAGCCTGCCTCAGCCGCAGTTTGCCTCAGCTTCAGCCGCAGCCTCAGCCTCAGCCTGCCTCGGCCTGCCTCGGCCTCAGCCTCAGCCTGCCTCGGTCTCAGCCTCAGCCTCAGCCTGCCCCCGCCTCAGCCTCAGCCTGCCTCAGCTGCAGCTTGCCTCAGCCTCTGCCACAGCCGCAGCCTCAGCCTGCCTCAGCTTCAGCCTCAACCTCAGCCTGCCTCGGCTTGCCTCAGCCTCAGCCTCAGCCTGCCTCGGCCTCAGCCTCAGCCTGTCTCAGCCTCAGCCTGCCTCAGCATCAGCCTCAGCCTCAGCCTGCCTCGGCTTGCCTCGGCCTCAGCCTCAGCCTGCCTCGGGGGGCCTCAGCCTCAGCCTCAGCCTCAGCCACAGCCTCAGCCGCAGCCTGCCCCAGCCTCAGCCTGCATCAGCCTCAGTCTCAGCCTGCCTCAGCCGCAGTTTGCCTCAGCCTCAGCCACAGCCGCAGCCTGCCTCAGCTCCAGCCTCAACCTCAGCCTGCCTCGGCTTGCCTCCGCCTCAGTCTCAGCCTGCCTCGGCCTCAGCCTCAGCCTCAGCCTGCCTTAGCCTCAGCGTCAGCCTCTCAGCCTCAGCCTGCATCAGCCTCAGCCTCAGCCTCAGCCTGCCTCAGCCTCAGTCTCAGCCTGCCTCAGCCTCAGCCTGCCTCAGCCTCAGCCTCAGCCTGCCTCGGCCTCAGCCTGCGTCAGCCTCAGCCTCAGCCTGCCTCAGCCTCAGCCTGCCTCAGCCTCAGCCTCAGCCTGCCTCGGCGTGCCTCTGCCTCGGCGTGCCTCAGCCTCAGCCTCAGCCTGCCTCGGCCTCAGCCTGCCTCGGCCTCAGCCTGCCCCAGCTCGGGCATTCAAAATATGGCACAGGATTTGTGTTCTGGGAACACGAAGATCACGAAGTGGCCCACAGATGGCTCCAGGCAATCAAAATATAGTACAATAATTGTATTTAGGAACACGAAAAACACGAAGTGGCCTACAGTTGGTTCTGGGCATTCAAAATGTGGCCTGGGAATGGTGTTCTGGGAACACGAAGAACACGAAGTGGCCTTCAGTTGGCTCCGGGCATTCAAAACGTGGCCTGGGAATGGTGTTCTGGGAAGACGAAGAACACGAAGTGGCCTACAGTTGGCTCCGGGCATTCAAACGTGGCCTGGGAGTGGTTTTCTGGGAAGACGAAGAACACGAAGTGGCCTACAGTTGGCTCTGGGCATTCAAAATGTGGCCTGGGAATAATGTTCTGGGAAGACGAAGAACACGAAGTGGCCTACAGTTGGCTCCGGGCATTCAAAATGTGGCCTGGGAGTGGTGTTCTGGGAATGGATTCCTAAAGATTCCGAAGAATTCGCAAGGATTCCTAAGGATTCCTGGGGCTGTTGGATCTGTCCGGTTTTGTCCGGGCCCCGCCCAGACCCCCCTGGGGCGTCAAGATGTTTCTTTTGACGCCAGTAGAAACCTATCAGCAAAAGCTGTTAGGTAAAAAGATCTGAGTACGAGCAGGTCTGAGTATGAGTAAATCTGGGAACAAGTATGAGTATTAGTTAGTCTGGGCATGGGTGTCTCAGCATGGGTAACTCTAAGTAGGAGTAGGTCTGAGTATGAGTAGGTCTGAGTATGAGTAAGTTTGTGTCTGAGTAAGTCTGGGTATGAGTAAATCTGAGTGTGAGTAAGTCTGGGTATGAGGAGGAGGAGAAGGAGAAGAGGGAGAAAAAGGAGTAGGAGGCGTCCAAGTAATAACAAGAACCCCATCTTAGGATATGGGGAATAACACGAGACCCATCTTAGGATATGGGGAAGCAAACCAAAACCGGCCAGGAAGAAGGCAGACCAGAAACCCAGCGACCGAGGGCCAGCCGAGGGCCAGGCGCGACCACAGCAACCGACGGACAACCGACGGACAATCGAAAAATAACCAAAACCAGCCAGGAAGGGGCAGCCGAGGACCAATGCAACCAATGGGCAAGCAAAAACAAGCCCGAACAACGAAAATCAGCCCGGAAGGGGTAACCATAATGTATTGCGCGACCATGGGACAAGAAACCGAGCGCAAAAGAAATCTCCAGCCCCTGAAATGCCCAAGCACGCCGTACCATAAGAATCTGGCAGGGGCTAAAACGAAAAAACAACTTTCTTATTGACCGCCGTGGGTGTAGCAACAATCATCTTGGACAGGGACAGCCAAACCCAAGAAATATATTAGGGTTGCGCCGGTCCACCAAAAACATACAACAATATGAACTCTTGAAATAGTAAAGCGCTTTAAGTAGATTGGGATCTGGGAATTCAGGAATACCTACTTTCAACGACCGACCTGTAAGGAAGTTGGAAAATTTACTGCCGTGCATCGCCTACTCCAAAAGGGCTGGTGGGACTCTTCCGAGCCAGATAGGAACCCCGTTGTGCAAGCACTGCTTTGGGAAAGTGCTGAAGACCACCCCGCCCCCGCAGTCCCGCAGTCCAGGCCACGTCCTGAAGGTCGAACAGTTCTGAGCCCCGACCTTCCCAAGGCGCTGACGGCCGTTGGCGCGGACCCACGCGGTCACCTTCTTCCGTAGATCTGGCGACCTCTGGCACTCCTGCAGCGTCAGCGGGGCGCCGGTCACGGGACAAACTTCTCCGTGCGCCTGCTGCCAATGGACGAGGGACGTGCGCTCGAACGCGAGGCCGCTCGGCGACACAACCGGGTCGCACAGGAGCTTGCCATCCAGCCTGCAACGGAACTCCTGGTAGAAAAGTGCCGGCTGAACGGTCAGGGGACAGGCGACGAGGAGTGGGAATCATGCAGACGAGCAGGATGAGAGAGAGACGCACTGAAACCATCAAGCCTATGTCATTCTTGGTTTGTATCGAAAGTTGGGGGGTGAAGGGCGGGATCGAAGTGAAACCGAAGAACCCCCAACGGGACCTCGGTCTCGGTTTCGTCTTCGTGTCGTGCGAGCGGGCGAGGCGAAGCTGCTTGGGCGGGCGAAAGGACTGAACTCGCCGACGCTTAGGCGCAACCGAGCCACTTGTTGCTCCTCCCCGCCGTGAGGCCGGCGGTGGAATGCGGGTGTCCCGA